GACGGCCGCCGGGGACTCGACGGGCCTTGAATCGTCGAGGGGCATTGGGTGCCGAGCGCGCGAAGAGCGGCGCCATCGGCGCGACCACCGACCACTGCCAGCGACCAGCACTTACACGGCAAAGGACGTAAGACACAGAGCGCACAGCACGCCGGAGCGCGCCGTGGCCCTGCGGGCGACACGGCAAGCCGCGCCGCCTAAGGCACCAGGTGCCCTTGGAATGGCGGGCCCTGCGGGCGACACGGCAAGCCGCGCCGCCTAAGGCACCAGGTGCCCTTGGAATGGCGTCACCCAAATCCAGCCAAAAATGCATAGTGTCAGAACACACATAGGTTGTTAAGTGTGGAGACGGCCAAGTGTATCTGTAATAGTACAGTGGGCAACTAAAAGTGACACAGGTACTAGTAAAGGATGGTGAAGACTAAGCTATCGATCGCTGCACCGTGTTGCATGTTTTTTCTGCAGAGTCGCTGGCCATTGGACGCTGGACGATCTTGCAGATTGTCGTTCGAAGGCGGGAGACCCACGGCTTTATGGGTGCAAGAGTAGGACCACAACATTATGGGTGCAAGAGTAGGACCACAACATCATCGGCGGATAAGAATAATATCTTCGTCGGTGCCATGGCTCTTTCTGGCGGCCTCGAACGACTCGAGACTCATCCAGCAACACGGGTGTTCGGGCGACGCTGGGTCCACGTACGCAACGCCGCGTGCAGAGATCGAGGCGACCACGATAAAGTGGCCCTGGAAAGTACCACTACGTGGCAGCTGCACACAGCACGTGAGCTCGCGGGCGTCGATGAGCACGAGCGCCACGTGATCGCGATTTGCAAGCGCGTCGCGGAGCGCGTCGATCGAGACACTGCCGCGCCGCGCGCACTTGGCAGCAACGACGGCGTTAAAGAGCGGCTGGATGCGCGCCATGTCGTCGAGGTAGTCACGCGTGTAGAACGCGTCGTGGGCCAAGTGCAGTGACGTCTCGAGCACGAGCGAGTGGAACGTGATCCGGTCGCCAAGCCGCGCCCGAAGGAGCTCCACGAGGTCAACGGTCCAGATGCTGCGCGTGCGCACTGCGTGGGCGAGTGCGACGGCGTCTTCGCGTGCATTGGGTGTGGCCCACGCGAGGACCATTTCCGCGCAGGCGAGCCCGCAGTCCCAGTCGCCGCGCTGCCGCACCTGACGCAGCATGAGCAATGTGGACTGGAAAGGCGGCATGCCGAAAATAAAGGGGTGGTTTTGATTGGCCGAAATCACGCCAATCGGACGGCCCGGCCACGATCTTTAGCGCTGCGGACAGTTTGCCGCGCACATAGCCCGCCTTTCGTACGCGAGGAGGTCACTAGAGCATGCAGAGATTGTAGTCACTTCTGCTCAATGATCATTTTTGCAACATGGACGACTACTGCTCCTCGTTTTGCCTTTTGAAATGACACCTTTCTCACCATCATATGCTTGGCCACGCCCGCGCACTTGTACGATTCCGCCGACGCTCCGTCTGAAACATGACGTCCATCTCGCAGGAGGGATATGCAATATGCTATAGCCTCTTTGTAGGTTGTGTGCGGTGTCAGCACAATCGCGCGTCAGCACGCCTGGTTTAAAGACGTGGCATATGCCACGCCAGAGGTATCCGGATACAAAGTGCAATCCGACCCGTACCGGGGGTATTATCCGGTTCCCTGGCACGATTGCCACAATGTCTTTTAAATCAGGGAATTTAAGCTTATGGAGCTTCGATTGAAGCGTGCATGTCGTTAAAACGCGGGAAAAGACAGATGGGCTGACCTACGACGCCACATTGGATTTTATTGCGTCTTGCCGCCATGTCCGAGTGGCGCCGCTTCCTCCATGCGTCCAAGAGCCAGAGCAAGCTCACGATGACGCTGCCATTGGACTACATCCAGAAGAAGTCGGCCATGGCGCTCTGCCTCCCCGAGCAGCGTACGGCCATGGAGACCCTCGACAAGCTCATCGACGAGGCGACCTCCGACTATGCGACCGCCGAGAACTGGCCGCTCATCATCGCGGTCGTCGACAAGCTCAACGCCGTTCTTGACGACGAGGTACATCGGTCGCTCTCTAGAGCCACGTGGCATCGCCGCGTAGGTCCGCGACGAGGCGGCGCGCATGGTGCGCATGCGACTCGCGAACCCGTCGACGACCGTCGTCCTCGCCGCGCTGCATCTGGTCGAGGCCATCGTCAAGAATTGCGGCAAGGTACATCCGACGGACGATGTCTCGTTGTCCCATCAACGCCATGGCTAGGGCATGCGCCAGCGGATCGCCAAGCCCAAGTTGATGCACACGCTCGAGATGCTGTACAAGGAGCATGCCAACAAGCGAGGGCGCGACAGCTTGGAGATCCAGGCGCGGACGCTGGAGCTCGTGCAGGCGTGGGGCGAGGCCTTCCTTCCGTTCCGGCGCGACTTTGCGGGCTTTGTGGACACCTACCATAAAATGCGGATCCAGGGCGTGCACTTCCCAACGCAGTACGACACGACGCGGGCGCCCGTGCTGTCGCCGCCGCGCGGCCACGAAGACAACCCGTTTGCGTTTGCGGCGGGTCTGTAGACGCTGCGATCGTGGACAAGTTGTCATCATGGGCGTAGACCAAGTCGAGGACGAGCCGGCGCCGAGTGCGTACAAGAACCTCCCGCCCGAGGACACGTACCATGTGACCAAGAACATCATGGACATGATGGACGACATGCTGCACGAGTGCAGCAAGACCAACTATGCGACACTCCACAGCAATGACATTCTGCAGGTAGGGTCTCTCTACCGCCGCAACACTAAGAACCTATTGTACGTGGAATAGGACTTGGCCGTGCAGCTCAAGCAACTCGAGAAGCGCCTCGTTGTCGTCATCGAGCAAGAAGCCAATCGGAACGGCGCGGTGCGTTTTTTTCTGATTTCAAAACTATCAACTTGATACTGGCGTGGCGTAGCATCTGGAAAAGTACCTGAGCTTGAACGACGAAGTGCAGCAAGCGATGCTCCACTTCAAAGAGGCGTGCGGGATCGCGGTCAAGCAAGTGACGAGTCCTCCGTCGTCGCGCAAGCACAAGCGTACGACCACCTTGGTTTCGACGACGGCCGCTGCATCAGTATTGTAGAAGACGATGCGATGCATGACAACGACCTTGTCAAGGAAGGCGTGCTCTCGCCCCGCAAGGCCGCCAAGTCGACCTTCGCCGACGACCGGTCGACGCCCAAGAAGCCCGCGACGACAGACGATAACGATGACGACGACGATCCCTTTGCGGCCTTTGCCAAGGAGCGCGTACAAAAGCTGTCGGCGGTCGCGGGGGCCGCTGCGCCCAGCGTAGGTCCCCTCATTTCGTTTGATGACGAGGCGCCGGTGGTTGCTAAAACCTCCGTGCCCGAGACAACGAAGGACGACGCGCCGCTGATTTTTGGGACGATGATCTGACGGCGGCACCGGTACACTGCGCTTGTATCGACTATAAAAATGAGGTCATCACTCGCAACTGCAGGCACCGCTTCCGAAGGCCTCGTCGTCGTTCAACCCTTTTGACAGCCCTCGCAGCCTCGCCCCTCCGCCCGCAACGCCGTTATTGGCAGCACCATCGGCGACAACAGCACCAGCAAATCCGTTCGACTTGTTATTTGATTGACATGTCACATAGTCGAACACTAAGCTATAAGATATGTCGTATGGTTGTCTCGCACGATGGGACGGCAACTCGGGCCAGTCGACATGTGCATGGAGCCGCGTGATGGTGCACGTTCTAATGACCTCTGCACACATGAAATGACTCTCCCTTGGCACTAGAACGCGTTGTTTCCAGAGCCAGAGTACGTAAAGTGCCCTTGTCCAGAGGTACCTATCTATCAACTTGATACACTTGTAGGAGGCGCATTAATTAATCCAAACACAAGAAAGAGTCATCTGTATTCAGCAAAGGTGCGTCGGGATCGGTCGGCCGAGACACGCAAGCTGGACAGTCGGATGATGTACTTTAGTGCACGGCGAGGCGCGTCGTCAAGAAGTGCGCAACCGCCGTGTGTCCCATGAGCGTCGCGGCGTCCTGCGCACGCTGCAGGTGGCAGGCGCTCGTCGAGGCGGCCAAGAACGTGACGAGGTCCAAGTGCCCGTACCGCGCAGCGTGGACGATCTCGCTCCCGAGAAGACGCATGCGCCCGTCCGCGATGATGCGGCGGACGAGGCGGTCGTTGCCTCGCTTGGCCGCGAAGAGAAGGCCGCTGTGGCTGCAGCCTTCCGTTCGATGCGCGTAGAGCCACTCGACGACATCGTGATGGCCGTGGAAGATGGCTTGGTCCATCGCGCGTGTCGTGCAGCCGTCCATGCGTTGCTTTGTGAGGTACTGGACGATGTGGAGGTGGCCGGCGCCCGCTGCTGTGTCCATTGTGTCGGCGCTAAAGCCTTCGTACGCGTGGGCGCTCAGGAACGCCAGGACGTCGACGGCTCCATGCGTCGCAGCGGCGTGCACGAGCCGGCGCTGGTCGAAGGGCGACAGCACGGTCGTCTCGTGGAGCGACGCCAAGAGCGCCGCATCGTTGCGGGATGCGCAGTAGAGGAAGAGCATGCAGCCAAGGTTGGCCATGTCGCGCATGGCGCGGCGAACGGCGAGCAGGCCGTGGGCGGCGATCCACGGCTCGAGGATGGATGCGACGACGTCGATCGAAGGCATGGGCTGCTCCTGCGCCGAGCGCACGAGGTGGTCGAGGCCACGCAGCTGCAGCGAGACGATGAGCTCGAGCTGCTCCTTGTACCAGCCGTCTTGGTACGCAAAGACGACGTCGAGGAGGTCGCGCGAGTGCAGGACGGCGTCCATATTAGTTTGGTGTTGTTTAAGTGCGGCCATGGCTTCGAACTTCGGGTGTCAGCCAATCCTGCGTGGCACGGCCGCTTCGAATATTTGGCACTTGCAATATCAATATTGCTCCAGAGAGTGCGCTCCAGCATGCAATATGCACTGGGATCGCACGAGACGCACCAGCAATGTGACCCGCTACGATACTATAGACCACGAGACGCAGCCTTTGATGGTGTTGGATCGTATTCACTAGTGTCTTGACCTAGGGAGGTGTCTATTTTGTCAAAAGGAACACGTCGAAACCACGATAATACTGACCGAAGGCGGGTTGATATTGCACATCATCAATATTTGCCAGCAGGACTCGGAGAGGCTGCCGTGCACCCTTTGCTCTTTGCTCTATCATGCTGTACTTGAAGTATCGACGACACGAACAATACCGTACTAGTACGGTCAAGGCAAGGGCTATGAAGAATATCCTTACGTCCTAATGGGTTAACATTGTGTTTCAAGACGCGCACGATAGCTGTGCACGATAAGGTCAAACAACACGTGAGTCGATCAATGTTCAGACAGGTCATCGAGCGATGGTCGTATGCCTGCGTTCACATGATGCTGATGGTCATCCGGTGTGGATTGCTAGTACAAATTTGTACCACAAAGCCCTGTACATATTAACTCAGTAGAACCACTTGGGTACATCAATGGTCGTACGTAAATGTATCGGCAGCACAAACCATCAATTGTCTGGTCTCTTGGATTGGTAGATTGGCCTCGGTCTCGTGGTCCCCACAACCAGTCAACCCTAGCTAGCCCTTAACGTTACCACACCAATGGCACCGTCGGTACCGCGAAGGTTCGAGGCGACGCAGCGGACCAAGAAAGACCAGGAGCGCATGGAATGATCATCTTATCGCTCATCTGACAGATCTTATGGCAGATCTTCTTATCGCGGATCGTAGCGCATTGAATGCATCGAGACGAAGCTGAGATGCTGTGGCCGGTGCACCAACGCCGCGCGTCTCCCGGCCCATTTGTGTCGACTCTGTCACGTAGGATGGATCCCGCATGGTCGTGTAGTGATTTTTGGGCGTAAGTCCATGGCTCCGACAGTGCACGTGGAGCTTGCAGCCGTCTTTGTCGTGGCATTTCCAATTGAACGATACCGCTCGACGTGACGAAAGTTGATGGGGCCGTTTCACCCATGACGTGGCATCACGGTTGACCAGATATCATACTCTCGACCAATGGACAGGAGGGTATTATAGGCAAAGGAATTATATCAAGGAAGCTGGAGAATCCCGTCAAGTGTCGACCATTGCGGAGCCCTTGCTAAAAGGAAGACAAGCTTCCGGCTCCGCAGACAAGATTCCGGCAAAGCGCGTCGAGTCGACGAGGAAGGACCTCTCCTACTAAGTACGCCAGTGTCTACGCTGTGACTCACAAAACCACATTGTCCGTACCTTCTTATAGCATACGTCATACGAGGGGTTGGCCCGCTACACACTCTGCTACGCACAATGTTTGGGACCAATCTGGCATCCATGTCCATCCATGTGGCATCACATCTCTTGAATGCGACACACACAAGAGGCAACAAGTGTTGGTCGTAGCAGCCACACCTCCACTCGAGCAGCTCATTTTTCAATTCACCCCGTCATCCAGAATGGAGTCCACAAGCACCCCTGCCGCTGCCGTTTCGTATGTCCCCCTCGCCGAGCCACCGCACGAAAAGACGATCGATGAACCCGCCGGTGTCGCGACAACGCCCGCCGACGAAGGCCTCGTGTACGGCGCGTGGAAGGCCGACATTTGCGGCTGCTTTACGCACTGCATGCCCAACTGCCTCTTGGCCTACTGCTGCCCGTGCGTCCCGCTGGCGCAGGTCATGGCTCGCATCGGCGGCAGCTACTGGACGACGCTGCTTACGTTTTTCGTCATCTACCTCGTCGGCCAAGTCTCGGCGGGTCTCATGCGCTGGCAGCGCGCGCCGTCGTGCCGCTACTACGACGACGACTGCGCCACCTCGTACTCGAGCGGGGTGTACGTCTATAGCGTCGCCTTCTGCCTCGCGACAATCGGCATTTCGTACGTGCGCGGTCAAGTGCGCAAGGCGTTCCAGATCCCGGGCTCGAGCTACGAAGATTGCCTCTGTGCGTTCGCGTGCAGCTGGTGCTCGATCGCACAAATGGCGACGCAAGCCAACACGTACACACCCGGCGCGTGCGACTGCGAAGCCAAGGGCACGCTGCCCGCGTTCCAGGCGTGAGACGAAAAGCTACAAGGTCCACAGTATATTTCCCACACCAAAGACTTGTTAAAAAGATCGTGTTCATGCGCTGTTTCAAATCCTGAGAACGGTATGAGCACAATCGACCTGAGACGAGACACGGCCAGACGCGACGTCCTCGGTAGTCAAGTGGGTCCATAACAGGGGAAACATCGTGGTTTATTATCTTTTTCAATGGACATGCTGGTGAACGTTAGACTCTTCGGGAACCGAGCTGTGGCAGTGACACCGATCTGTCGTGCTCGTGTGGCAGCAACGTCTGGATGCAGGTCGTGCCCGCAATACAGTCGTCGTCGTTTTCACAGATCTTCCCACCAGAGGTCAAAATGACCAGAGGTCGGGTCGAGTTCAAGCGTTGTGTCCTCAAATCATATGCAAAGGCAGTTAGCTCAAGCATACACAATACAGCCGATTGTAGTAATGTACGAATGAAACGTTTCGACGCCAGCCGTTATCTCCATAAGATACCTGGTACTGGTGTATATATATACTCTATCCCGCATGTGCATGGACGATATTGGTGTATGTCCCAACGTACCACTATGTCTAGTCCATTCCGACGTTAGAGACCATCAATGTCGACGGCACATGGCGTGACGTCCGTCAGAGATGTCGGCCCTGCGCATGTCCCACTGAAAAGGACACTGTCATGTACAGTATGTACACCAATGAAGGTCCCCACCATATGAGGCCTCAGCACTCGGTGAAAGTATCGCACTCTTCAAAACGACGACCAGTGCGCAGTGCTCATGGAGACCACTCCCGTGATGCAAGCTCCGTTTGGCTCGATTACCGCTGGCCCCCACGCACTCAGGTCGGCCGGCGCCTTCTTCTTCCAGTCCGCGGCGTTCCGCTTTCTTCAATACACGCTCAACGACCTCCTCTGGTATGTACTCATGAAGTACCTTGAAGCGGACGGCCAGCAGTACTCGGAAACCCTCACTCTTATTGACGCGACGAGCTATCTGCGCTTCTTCTTTTGCGTCTTCTCGGACATTTGGCCGATGTTTGGCTACCGCCGCAAGAGCTGGCTCCTGCTCGGATGGGCCATCGCCGTCATCGCGCTCAGCCTTGGCACGGTGCTTCCCATCGGTGCTCCGTACTGCGACTTTGTCAAGTACCCCGTCGACTGCATGCGGAACGAGCGCAACGACGCACCCTACGCCGCGTTCAACTCGAACGCCACCGACAAGGCCGGCCGCTACACCCGACTCTTCGCCGGTGCGGCGCTTGGTGTCGCCGTCATCGGGGCTGCCTTGAACGGTCTCATGGTCCAGTACGCACAAGTGCAAGACGATTCGGTGCGTGGCAGTCTCCAAGCCAGCTTCTATTGTGCGACGACGGTCGGCCGACTCGCGTCGTCGCTTCTGCAGCAGTTTGCGCTCAACTTTACGACCTTTGGTGGCGACTACGACTGGATCCTCGACGTCCAAGCTGCGTTTGGTCTCTGCCTCGCGGTGGCGCTTCTCGCGATGGTCTCGACGCTGTGGCTCGACGAGGTCAAGTCGACGCGGTGCCAGTTTGGCGTCTGGTGGACGCAGCTCTGGGCCCAGCTGCAAACGCGCGCCGTGTGGCGCGTCGTTGCTTTCTACATGTTTTTCGGCATGTTTCAAGGCGTGTACATGAAACCCATCACGAGCTGGCTCACGGGCTCGAGCAATGATTGGTTCAGCACCGTCGACTGCGTCGTGCCATTTCTCGTCTATGCCGTCGTCGGGCGCGTCGGTCGGGCGTGGTCCTGGCGCACGGCGATTCTCATGTCGTCGCTGGCCTGCGTCGCTCTCCGCGCGTTCTCGGTCGTCAGTGTCACGCAGGACATTGACCGCAGCGCGACGTTCAACAGCATCTTGCTCGTGCTCATGCAAGCGGCCATGTCTGTGACGGAGCTCATGTGCGGCTTTGTCCTTGTCGAGACGACGGGCGCCGGCTACGAAGCGACGTTTGCGGGGCTCCGAATCGTGATCTCGTACGCCAACAGCACGTGGATCAACCAGTGGTCGACCTTTATTCGCGAGAAACTGCGGATCGAACCGATCTCGACCAAGGACGGTGAGGATACTTTGCTCACTGAAATTGTGCACGCAAGCTATGTTGTGCTGGGCATTCAGCTCATCGGGCTTTGCTGGATCGCGCTGCTTCCGACGCAGAAGGCGCGGCTTCTCGAGCTCAAGGACGCGGCGACCGCAAAGCCACTTGCGGGCTTCCTCGTCGTCATTGGCGTTATGAGCCTTGTATCGTACCCGCTTCGCGACCTCCTTTTCAGCCTCGTGGATTATTTGAACGCACGCGACGAGTAACCTCTCAACATGAAAGAAGGATAATGTTTTTTTACCTTGCATTGCAGCCTGTGGCTGCAGCTATCAAATGGATCGTCGGGGCTTAGACTTTGCGAATGGCAGTACACGTTGGTGTGTGGGCCGTGCGTCACCGTCAACAAGCGGTGCGACGGGGCTAAATTCTCCGTGTCGTCGTCTTCGCTGTACCTAGTTGGGCTCAAGCTTGACACCAAGCGGGCGACTCCATAGCAGCGGTGGCGCCTTGCCCATCTCCTCGTCCGGAGACATGGGCGACTTGGTGGCTACGCACACGCATCGGAAGCTCGATCGAGCCAATACCGGTAGTCGTGTGAGCGGTGCATGCAAGCACACTTAAGTGCGCGCCCCGCGTCAAGTAGTAGAGTAGAATTGACTACGGCTCCGATTCCACTCCCATTGCCAGAGCGAGAGAGCTGTGTAGTTGGGCGGGTCAGAGTCACATCGGAGCAAGCTGCAGTTTAATGTCCAACGATAAAACGGGCTCGATCATGTACTAGTACTGTACAAAGGTTACGGGCGGCGAATGATCGAGCCACAAGAGCATGGTCACGACGCACGCGTGTCGGTTCGTGTCGGTGATTTTCATCGTTTCGTATTCTATTGGTAGGAATTAGCCTGCAAGGCAGGAATTAGCATGGAAAGCTGGGTCCATGCTTTTTGTCGTATTTTATTAAAAGCCCGCGCACGCACATGCCATTTCTATAGGTAAATAAAATTACGAGTAAAAACGACCGGCTATTATAATGACTCGCGACCTCTTTTTATTTGTATTCTATGATTTAGAGGCGCACCATGGTACGAATTCGTCCGTCCAGCGATGCCATTGGCGTAGCGCTCTGCGACAACCGACGTTGGACATGGTAGCACCGGCGCGCGGGTGTGGACAGGCAAGTCCTACGCAGCTTGCGCAGCATTGCTCAAGATGCCCACGCCCACGCGCACCACCGTGGCGGTGGCCATCGCCTTTCTTCTCTTTGCCGCCTACGGCGCCTGCGTCAAGGCCCTCGATGCCTCCATGTACAGCGCGCTCCTCGCGATGCCGCACGCCAGCACCGTGGGCACCGTCGCGATCGTCGTCGCGGTGCTTGGCCTCGTGCACCTTGTCTGGACGCGGTGCGCGCCGTCGCCCACGCTCTGCCTCGTGCTGCTTGTCGCTGAGGTCGTTTGCGCCAGCGTGCTCTTGGCGTATGCAGTCGCGGCGCTGTCGACAACGACGCATGCGATCGACGACTCGCCCAAGCTCACGACGTACCAGCACCGCATGGAAGAGTTTCTTGCCTCGGACGCGGCGCGCCAGTACAAATACAGCAGCAGTCTCACCTATACGTGGGGGGTAGACGCCCCGTCCCGGCCGACGCTCTCCTACGTGGGCTACGAGTACCCACGTACGGTCGCACGCATGTTCAATGACGTGTACTGCATGAGCGAAGGCCGCCACTTTTGCAGCGCGTTTCCGCTCGTCCAAACGATCGTGTTTCCAGGTCTCTGGGCCGACCCAAACGTGACGGCTGCGATTGCGCGCAATTTATCGACGCTGCCGACCACGTTCGCCAACGTCACCGTGACAGCCACCACGACCATCGAGAGCTTTTGCGCGCGCGTTAACATATCGTATACCATCCCGCGCGACCAAACGGAGCCGTTCATGCGCGATCTCGGTCGACTCTGCAGCAGCTGCAAGACGCTCGGAACGCTCGCGACCGTCAGCACGGACCACGACACGCTCAAGCAGTGGATCCATACGTCGTGCCCAATGACGTCGCCCAAACCGTCGGGCGTCTACTGCGTCACCGCGGCCGATTGCATTCAAACCAACGTGCTGCGCCCAGAACGCAGCGATGACTCAGAGTGGTGCTACGTCACCGAGTCGTACCTGAACCCATCGTACGACGCGTGCTTTGGCCACACGCTCATGTCGGCAGCACGGACGTACGCAGTAGCGATCGTGATCGCCTCGGGCGTCCTCTTGTGTCTATCGGTGCTGCTTCTTGCGCGCGTCTATGTCGTGCGTCAAGTGCAACGATACCAAGATGCGCTGCGCGAGGCTGCGGTGCAGACACCGACGATGACTAACGTGTAATATTGTCTTATGGTGGGTTCGAATATTGTCTTATGGTTGCTCGTATTTATGGTACAGGATGATTGGACACACGTAGTAATGAGACGCTCGGGACCCTACCCCTCGAAGTCCTGCGACGCGGTCGTCCGCAGGGATCGCATGCGCCGACGCCACGAACGCCGAAGCGAGATGGAAGCGGTGCACATTGGTGGCTGCCAAGAACTTGGCACATGAAGATGTGAGCTAATGATACGCGCCCAACAGATGTTGCGCCGACATGGGCGTGGGCAAGTGCGCAGGCAGGTCGGGCTCAGACACAGTCCGCATCTGGGTCGAGAATGCTCGTGGGACAAGGGCACCATGCGAAGAGATCCTACGAATTGTTGCAGTATACACAGAGAACGCTGGCGTCAAGAGCTGATACAATGACGTTGAGAATGGTTTTGTGCCACAGCTTTTGGGTGGATTGACAAGATACTTTTTGAAAACCAACTGTTGGGAAGAAGATGGAGTTGTTCTTGAAGTGGGTCATCTAGTACTATAGAGAAATCGATGCTCAATAAAACTGTCAGACATTCTTCGCTGTGTGCACTCGGTTGAGGAACTTGATTTAGGCAGGTGGAGGCAGGAGAGCGATCCGCGGGACGAGGTGACGTCGCGGCCACTCGTGTAGAAGACGGAGTTGTGCGTCGCGATATGTATCGAAAAATGCATCGCATGTTGCTCGTTGCAGTCCACCGCTGTGTGCATCTGATTCCGATCAACCTGAGTCCACGACGTATCAGACGCTCTGATTCAAAGGGACTCAGTCCGCTTTTCTTCGCAAGTACCCGGTACGCAGTTCTTATTACGTGTTCTCACCCGCGTGTTTCGGTGCACTGACGTGGTCGACATGTGGCACGTTGGCCGCGTATTTGCACCGCGCAGCACACATTGTCGAAGCTTCTTCTGCAGCCAAGTCGTATCAAGTTTGCTGAAAACATCAAACTTTTACGGATTCTCTTCCCGACACAGATGCAACAAACTGTGTCCGAGTCCGACCGTGCGTGGTCCCACGCCGCCACCCGTCGGTTTGCCAGCGTACACTTTCACATTTGCTTTCTTCTCGACAGCCACCACCAACATGCATCATCGCGCCCTTTTCTCTTCGGTCTTTGTGGCGTCGGCTCTTGGGATCCCCGCGGACGAGCGCGCGTCGCTCGTAGCCGACCTCGACCAATGGCGCGCAACGTTTGGTCGCGATGCAGCGGCGAACGGTCTCCTCCCGCAGCTTATCGGTCTCGACGAGGTGGACGCGACCGAGCTCTTGCTCTCGCGGCTTCAAGCAGCCAAAGCGGCGCTCCCGGCGCTGCGTCGCGAGAACCCGGACGCCGACTTTACGCATCTCGGGCCGTTTGCGCTGCTGAGCCATGACGAGTTTAGGCAGCGCCTCGGCCGCTCGTTCGCCAAAGCGGCGCCCAAGCGTGCGCTACGACCCGACGCTGTCGACTATGGCGCGCTCCCGGCTGCGACCGCCGCCGGCAATGTCGACTGGGCGACGCGCTCGAGGTGTATGAACGCGGTCAAGGACCAGGGCAGTTGCGGCAGCTGCTGGGCCTTCGCGGCCACGGGTGCCATCGAGTCGGCGCACTGCATTGCAACGGGCGCGCTCCTTAACCTCTCGGAGCAGCAGGTCGTGAGCTGCGACACGGTCGACGGCAACGGAGGCTGCGACGGCGGCCGGGAAGTCACCGCGATCAACTGGGTCGCGTCGCGCGGCCAGTGCGTCACCTATGACTACCCGTACACGTCCGGCGCGTCGGGCAGTACGGGCGCGTGCCAGACGACATGTTCGCCGCAACCGCTGGCCGTGGGTGGCGCGGTCCAGATTGTCGGTGAAGCTGCGCTTGAGACCGCGCTCAACACGCAACCCGCGACCGTGACCGTTGCGGCCGGCAACGAGGCGTGGCAGTACTACAGCGGTGGCATCGTGACGTCGTGTCCCAGCGCCATGTCAGACCACGCGGTCATCGCCGTCGGCTACGGCACGTCGGGCGGCAAGAGCTTTTTCAAGCTCCGCAACTCGTGGGGTGCGGCGTGGGGCGATAACGGCTACATCAAGCTCCAGCGCGGTGTCGGTGGCAAGGGCACGTGCAACGTTGCCGAGAGGCCGGCATACCCCAAGATCTACGGCGCGGCAAAGCTGGTGACCGCAACACCGATGGCGACGCCCGAGCCAACGACGCTCCGCCCGTGGACGAACAGTGAGAGTGACGGAGACGTCGATGGTGGCGAGTACAACAACTCTTAAAAGCCGCGTCCAATTGATGGCAAGTAGGTAGTGCAAACTCGCACGTTCTGTGGCACGAGGTGTCACGCGATATAGTCGACTGCTATTGTGCAATGAATTGGATCGTGTTGCTGATGGCAGAATCTTGTCTTGCTTGCAGCGATCGTCTCGTTCGAGGCCAGCGCCGACCCGTTCGCCTGGCGCAAGTGACCCTAAAGTTGTGTTGCAACACGTTTTGTGATCATTTCTACAGAGGAATGGCCATATCGGTTGCAGCAAGAGATGGCAGAAGCGCCAAGGCACCTTGGCAGCAGCGATCGAAACCAAAAGACGACGTGTCAAAATATGTACTGTGGTTCGTTGGCGACGCAGTAAGAACGTCGACGTGTGTGCACGGCAACATTGCACTTTGCCGTAACATCGCTGGCTAGGTACACACCTGTTTCGTACGTACACCCGTACAATTGACAGTACATTTGTACGAGATGTACGTAAGACATCCGAGACCCAGCCAATCAAAACGATCGCGTCCCGTACAGATCGGCAACGCTGCTGGCGGCGGCTCGTTCGAAGTAGCATGTGTGGTCCTTAATTGCGTATGATAACAATGTATCGTACTTGCGTTAAATATCGATTTTGCTTGCACGGTAGGTCCTCGCGGAGGAAGCAGGCGAGACGCTACTATGGTGTAGCAGGCCATCGTTCGGCGTAGCGACCTTGTCGAGTCGGTGCACTGCAGTCTCGTTGTCGTGGTAGCAACAAAGTAGCCCCGCGTGCTGTTTCTTTTCTGCCAAATATCGCTCGAGCGTGTCACTCAGTACGTCTCGTTCGACCAGCCTTGCATCCCGTTATCTTCCGGTTACACACGCGCACTTGGATCTAAATGGACGCAGCTGGTGGCCTCGATATCAGCGTGGCACAGCAGATTGGTATAATAGCATTGCTTTTCCTGCGCTGCGCCCGATGCACAGCAGGAATCACGCGTTCCAGTGGTGTCCAGCGACTATCAGCACGTCCGACGCTTGATCTGTCGCGTGTCGGCTGCGCGGAGAGATTGTCATGTTGTGATATCCCCGAAGACATTCCTCGTTCTGGTCGTGCATGTTTGAAGGTAACCCCGTCTTGAAGCGGCATCGAATCCCTCAGTGCTTGGCCCTTGATCAGAAGGTGCGATCCTCGGCCTCGGACGTTGAACCTCTCTCAACTTGCTAATCTCGGTGCTTGATCGACAGCCACAACGTTCGATATCCAGCTTTGATTCATGATTCACCTTTGGGTAGTAATCTGGCTGCGAAGAAGCGAGCATCTCCACGGAATGCGAGCCGCGGTTGCCGCCGAGATTGGTAATACCGGCCCATCTCATTCGAATGGCACGAGTTGCAGCGCGCACTTTTTGATTTGCTTGGAGAATGCAAGCCGCACTTGCAGTGTCGACGGTAGTCGCGTTCGCTGGTGCGAGCCAAAGCGACTTGGAAGAATGGTTCATGAAATTTGGCGCGGAAGCGATCACCAACAACCTGCTGCCGAGGATCCACGGCGCCACCACCGAAGCGACCAACAACGCGCTTTTGATTGAGCGACTGGACGCGACCAAAACGCTCATCACCACACTGCAGGCCGAAAACCCGGATGCAACCTTTGGGATCGGGCCCTACGCGCTCTTGACCTCAGGCGAGTTTGCTCAGCGCCTCGGGCTTGCGGGGATACCACCGTCCGTTGCGGCCCCGCCGGCGCTGACCGCTACGCCGCCGAATGCGACGGTCGACTGGACGACGTCCAAGTGCCTCAACCCAGTAAAGAACCAAGGTCGATGCGGCAGTTGCTGGACGTTTGCGGCCACGGGGGCTGCCGAAGCAGCGCATTGCATTGCGACCGGCACGCTTCTCAACCTCTCGGAGCAGCAGGTCGTCAGCTGCGACACGACCAACGGCTTTGGCTGCAATGGTGGCTGGGAAACCGGCGCTCTCAACTGGATCGCAGCTAATGGCCAGTGCCTCACGGCCGACTACCCCTACACGTCCGGTGCGACGCAGTTGACCGGCGCCTGCCAAAAGATGTGCACGCCACAGAAGCTTTCGATCGGGTCGCTCGTGTATATCGCTGGCGAAACCGCGCTCGAGTCGGCGCTCCAAACACAACCAACGACGGTGGCCGTCTCGGCAGGCAACCCCGTGTGGCAGCACTACATGGGCGGTCTCGTCACGGCGTGCCCCGCTGCGATCTCGGACCACGCGCTCGTCGCTGTCGGGTACGGTACAACCGCGGATGGACAGCCGTACTTCAAGCTGCGCAACTCGTGGGGCGTCAATTGGGGCGAACAGGGCTATATCCGCCTTCTTCGCGGCGTCGGCGGCTACGGAACGTGCAACCTCGCCGAGGCGCCGTCGTACCCGCGTATTACCTACCCGAATCCACCGACAAGTGCGCCAACAACGCAAAAGCCAACGACCCTGGCACCGACGACCCTAGCCCGAACAAAGACACCGGCTCCCACCAAGACGCCGGCTCCCACCAAGACACCGGCTCCCACCAAGACACCGGCTCCCACAAAGACACCGGCCCGAACAAAGACACCTACCCCCACCAAGACACCGACCCCCACCAAGACACCGACCTCGAGAAAGACGCCAGCCCCCACGACCCGCAAACTACCGGTAACCCCGGCTCCCACGACGCCACAGCCACCGGCGGTGACCGTAAAAACCTCGATCCCGTGGCCAGTCCCTACAACGCCAACGCCACGTCCATCGCCCCAATACAACTAGGGTAGCGCAACCCCGTCGCCAACGAAAGTGTCATCGATAACGCATCATACCCGCTAAGAACTTATGTTGTGTACTGTGTACCCTGTTGAGATATCTTTTCACCCATAACTATTACCCGGTATGGTCCTCTCGGTGGTTTGCTCATAGACCGATGGCGAGGCGCCACGACATACAATCTTCTTGTCGTGTGAAGTGTTGATCGTCCGAGTAAAAGACACATACACAAAACTCGACAAAAACGCTGCGTTGTCTACGAACGCGATGCCAAGGATACTAGATGGAAGTCCTTCGTGGTAATAAGGCCATAAACTTTGCTACTATTCATGGCCGTTGCGAAATGCGGGTTGGTCATCGTGCGTGCGGCCGTTGTCGAAAGCAGCGCGCCAATATTTAATTGCATTTTTGGTAGCAATGCGTTGCTCAGATCTCCAGGGTAAATCCTCGTTGCCGTCAGTGGCCTCTATCGGCACCATCGTCTCGGCTGCAGGTCAGCATATGCCCGTGTAGACCACATGTTTCCCATGCGTTTCCGGTGCAAAGAAAAGATTCGGCCGCTGAGAGCAGCTGACTTCGTTCGCGATTCCGACTCTGTTGCTTGGTATAACGTGTACAACCATGCACTGCTCTCATTGTCCGATCAAAGAGACGTGGTGGAAAAGGCACATCGACATCCATCGCATCATGTCTGCATGATTCAGTGTATCAAGTTGATAAGCTGATACAGATCGTATTGTGTGCACTTATCGCCACGGGTTCGCGCGGCGCTGTAGGGCGCGAAATGTGCGGCCGTGGGCAGGGCGCGTTCATCTAATCCCGTTGCAGAGACAACGGTAAAGATACTCGATACCACGACGGTACAACTGTTACCAGGCATAGCAAAGTCGCTCCAGCGTCCAATCTGATTTCGCAACGAGAGATGATGGTTGGCCGGAGCGTTTGAAAACCACGCCCACTTCGCCCACGTTGAATTGGAGGTGTGACAAACGCGTGGGATGGGAGGTTCCTTGTGATGAAAACAAATACTATTTCCAAGTGAAAACCCCCATTGTGTACGTGCCCAAATCTATCTTTTTTGCAGCTCGTTGTTCCCTCATGGACCCCTCGTCAAGAAGAGAAGGCAAGAGTGCCCGAGGAGACGCACCGACGAGCAGCGAACAGAACCCAAGCGTTGGCGAGGATGATTTGCCGCCAACTCAGAATTTGGTTCTCAGGTTGGTCTGGTGCAATTGCTTTGCGTCACACAGTTTACGTGCACGTCTACGAGTCTTTATTTCGCACTCTGATGCACGCCACAACACTAGAATCGGATGCATTTCAACATGCTGCAGCTCATCTGGCAAAGCGGCCATTTACAAACTTGTGGACAAACTAGAACAGTCTTGAAAACGTTAGCATAAGAAATGTTGCAGAATAATGGAACCCAAAGTCCTTTAGAAGACACGACCACGCTTGCAAGGGGTGCACTGTAGCATCCGGGCGCCGATACAATGTGTCCCACGTCGTCCAAACGTGCTCGAACACAGCTCCCACGGTGTACCAAGCCGCCAACATGGATCAACTCAGAAAATCAGAATACATCCCATCGTCCAAACCGCCAAAGCCAATTCCCAACGCTCATTGTTCAATTCGCCTCTGCCATGCAACGCATTCTCCTCGCCACGGCTGCTCTCACCCTCGTCGCTGCGGACCGCGACGCGCTCGTCGCCGAGCTCAACCAGTGGAACAAGGCCTTTGGCCCGTCGTACTTGCCCACGGGCGTGGACGCGGCCAACACGGAGGACCTCCTCGTGCGTCTCCAGGCAGCCAAGGATGCGATCGCTGCCGTCTCCAAGGAGCAGCCGACGGCGACGTTCGGCATCGGGCCCTTCTCGCTCTACTCGGCCAAAGAGTTCCAGAACTACCTTCGCCGTTCGTTTGCGCCGGGTGCTGCGCTGCTTCAGGACGCGCCGCGGGTGGAGGACCGCGGCGTCGGCGGTGCCAACGGCACCCTCGACTGGTCGGCGACCAGTTGCATGAACCCGGTCAAGGACCAAGGCAAGTGCTCGTCGGCGTGGGTCTTTTCGACGACGGCGTCGGTCGAGGCTGCCCACTGCATCGTGACTGGATCGCTGCTCAACGTGTCGGAGCAGGACGTTGTGAGCTGCGACCGTGACCAGCTCGACGAAGGCTGCCGCGGCGGCCTCGAGTTCACGGCCATGGACTGGATCGGGAAGAACGGTATCTGCCTCGCCAAGGACTACCCGTACACGTCCGGCTCCGACGGCACGAACGGCGTGTGCCAGACGACCTGCAAGAAGCAAATGCTCGCCGTCGAAGGCCACGCGTGGGCGACCGGCGAGCTCAAGTTGGAAACGGCGTTGCTCAAGCAGCCCATCACGGCGGCCGTCATCGCCGCCAACGACGCGTGGCAGCACTACACGTCCGGCGTCGTGACGTCGTGCCCGGGCAACACACTCGACCACTCGGTGCTCGTCGTCGGCTACGGCGCCGAGAACGGCGTCGACTACTTCAAGGTCCGCAGCTCGTGGGGTGCGGCGTGGGGTGACAAGGGCTACATCAAGCTCCAGCGCGGCGTCGGTGGCAAGGGCATGTGCAACGTTGCCGAGTTCCCGATCTACCCCAAGCTCAAGGGCACGCCAATGCCGACGACGGCGCCCGTCCCGACCAAGCCCGCGTGCTAAGTCGATGACGTTTTTCGACCAACTCTATGTTGATATCGTCGCCAACCGTAAAGATGTGTACTATCCGGCTCAATGCGCAAATATAGTCGTTTGACCCATGCTATCCACGGCAAGGTTGCCCGTTGGTACCAACTTGTATGCGTGTTTCGTTGTGTTGAACAAGCGGCAGTCAGCGCGGCGCTGTACGCGACGACACCGATGTTGCGCGCTGTCCATTTCGTCGGCGGCGTATAGCGTTTGCTTTGCGAGCGAGATTGAAGGTCTCTCTAGGTGTAGGGTTAGTACACGAGTGCTTTTTCCAATGGCCATTCGCCACTGTGACTGCGACGTTGTATGCACTCCAGCCGCGTATTTCAAGCTTTCATGCGTGGCAACAAAGTACGAATAGTTGTCAAGTACAAAAAATTTATGGGGTTTCAAGCAGGACGCCCAACGTTAGCAGGCCGGTTTCGTTGTTGGAGCAGGTGTCGTCGTCATGATCGGAAACGTCGGGAGCTCGGCCACCTTGCATACGCCAGTACCGCCGACGCCGCGCTGGAGCTTGATGTGGCCTGCCTCGCCCCAGTTGGCGCCCCACGAGTTGCGGACCTTGAAGTAGTTGACGCCCTTCTCGACACCGAACCCGACGGCGACGGCAACGTGGTCGACGTCGTTTCCGGGGCACTTGGTGACAATGCCGTCCTTGTAGAGCAGCCACGCATAGTTGGCGGCCTCGACTTCCACCGCGACGGGCTGCACGGAAAGCGCCGCCTCGAGCGCCGGCTCGCCAATCGCAAAGTCAAAGCTGTTGATAGCGAGCGGCTGCTTCTTGCACGTCGTTTGGCACTCGCCGTTCTTGCCGTCGACGCCGGACGTGTACGGGTAGTCGTTGGCGAGGCAAATACCTTGCTTGGAGATCCAGTCCAGAGCCGTAAACTCGACTCCTCCGTTGCAGCCGTCGTCAAAGAGGTCGCGATCGCAGCTCACAACGTCCTGCTCCGACACATCCAGCAGCGTCCCGGTCGCAATGCAGTGGGCGGCTTCGACGACGGCCGTCGCCGAGAAGACCCACCCCGCCGAGCACTTGCCGTGGTCTTGCACCGGGTTCATGCACCGGGTCGTCGACCAGTCCACGGTACCGTTGGAGGCGCCGACGCCGCGGTCCACGAGTCGAGGGACATTGTCGTGCGGTGGCTTGGGCGTCGTGCGAAGCTGGGCTCGAAACTCTTCGAGCGAATACAGGGCAAAACGACCAAGTTCGAACGTCGCGTACGGCTGCGTTGCCTGCAGCAAAGCCATTGCGGCCTTGGACGCCTGCAACCGCCCGAGGAGGTCGTCCGTGTTGGTGGCATCGACGCCGCGCGGCAAATACGACGGGCCAAACACTTGGTTCCACGCGTCAAGTTCGAGTGTCAGCGACGCCCGCTCCGTCGGCGAGAGGTCGAGGGCCATCGTGGACACGGCGAGGAGGGCAGCGACCGTGAGTCGCTGGTGCATGGGAAAAGTGAAAATGATTCGAGTCCAACGACGACGACAATGAAGTGGCTTGCGTGGGACTGCATAGTGTAGGACCTACGACCACTGCAGCGCGTTTGGATGCAAGGCAGTGGGTGCAAGGTCGTTGCGCCAGCGATATGGCATGGCCATGCTGCAGTAAAGTAGCTTCACCCGTACCGTCAATTAGAGGACTCTACTGGTTATTCGATTGCCGACCTTGAAAGCTGACGGTGATGCGACGTGCTACGAAGGAGCGTGTAGCTGTTGTTGAAGCCTTATATTAGTGCGCTCCGAGGCTGATTATCCGGGACTCGGATACAAGATCTGAGTTGCGTGTCTCGCGCAGACGTTGGGACCAGATGCAGTTGCAACCGCACTAAAGTTTTCAACCACGTCTCTGCGAATGCACGTGCATTTGGAAGTCGACAGCCTATAGTTACTACTATGCAGTACATTGCAGACCCACATTCCATTCCTCATGTGTTGGGTGGTGTTGAAAAACACCAGTGGGGTGAGCGACTTTGCGTCGCTATCGCTTCAGACTTAGCCGCCAAAGCCGTACAACGTGCGGCCCTGGCGCTTGAGTGCGTACACGACGTCCATGGCCGTCACCGTCTTGCGGCGCGCGTGCTCCGTGTACGTAACTGAGTCCTTGATGACGTTCTCAAGGAAGACCTTGAGCACGCCGCGCGTCTCTTCGTAAATCAAGCCCGAGATGCGCTTGACGCCGCCACGGCGCGCGAGACGGCGGATGGCGGGCTTGGTGATGCCCTGGATGTTGTCGCGACCTTGCGGTGGCGCTTCGCACCACCCTTGCCGAGACCCTTGCCGCCCTTGCCACGACCAGACATGTTGTTGTTGTTGATGTTGCTGTTGAAATTGAAAGTGCTCATGGCAGAGCGTTTGGCGCGATCGCGGTAACCGGATCGTGTGTGATTGGTCTAATTTCAAATAAAGTGGAACTCATTGGTGGAATATTTACATCCAGCTACCAATCCGATGCGCCAACCGCTCCTGGTGTCCAATCAAATCGAGCGATGCATTCTTCCCGCTCATCATCACTCGCATCACTTTCAATTTCAACAGCAACATCAACAACAACAACATGTCTGGTCGTGGCAAGGGCGGCAAGGGTCTCGGCAAGGGTGGTGCGAAGCGCCACCGCAAGGTCCTCCGCGACAACATCCAGGGCATCACCAAGCCCGCCATCCGCCGTCTCGCGCGCCGTGGCGGCGTCAAGCGCATCTCGGGCCTGATTTACGAAGAGACGCGCGGCGTGCTCAAGGTCTTCCTTGAGAACGTCATCAAGGATTCGGTCACGTACACGGAGCACGCGCGCCGCAAGACGGTGACGGCCATGGACGTCGTGTACGCGCTCAAGCGCCAGGGCCGCACGTTGTATGGCTTTGGCGGCTAAGTCTGAAGCGATAGCGACGCAAGGTCGCTCACCCCACTGGTGTTTTTCAACACCACCCAACACATGAGGAATGGAAAGTGCTTCTGCAATATGCTTTCTACACTAGACAGAGCCAATTCAGGCAACCCCAAGATCGAGCTGCGCGCATGGATAGCGACCCAAGAATCAACAACAAAGCGCTTGTGAGGCTTGGCCGGTGCTTCAGCGAGGAGCGTTAGTGGTCGTGATTCGAGATTGACTAGGCAGCGTGCACACCAGGGGTCGTCACGGAGAGCAACCAGCGACGCGTCAAGAGATGGCACCACAGCGCGACGAGCCAAGTGCCGGACATGCAGTCGTGCGATAGAAGCTGCCTGGATAGCGAGTGCGGCAGCGGAAAGTTGCGTCAGCGTCGTGCGGAAGACACGGTTGTTGCGTTCGAGCCAAAGACAATACCAGACGCAAGCGCGTAAGAAGATCGGAAACTATGACCGGTGTGCTTGCTCTTTCCGAGAGACAATAAATACCATTATTGAGCGCAGCCCAATCTTCACGATGCAACTGCGCAACCAGAGGTCTGGTACGGACATCGATATATCCACGTCCGTTAGCCGCGAATCGGAGATGCATCGCCAGTACATATCGACTTGGGTCGTGAGCATTGAAGTGGCGACCGAGCGTTCATGGGACAAGGCAAAGTAAGGTTCCTCGCATGTCGACGGTGTGCGTCATACACCTTGGAGCTACCGAGTAGGCTCAATGGAATATATGTTTGCTCGTTTGAAAAAGCGCTTTGAAAGTGGACATGACATTATAGAAATCAAAGGAGGAGAAAACGATAAGGATAAAATAGAAATGGGCAAATGACTTCTCATAACACCAGCGTCCGCTCACACCGTCTTGGAATAGCAACGGTGGACGTTCATCAAGAGCCAGCAACTCAAAACTCAATTCGAGTTTCTGGCCGACATCCCGAGTCAACGGACGTGGTCACATACGATCATCAAAGTCATTTGTGATGTCAACTTTGAAAACAAAGTAGAACTGAACTGTACTGTAGAATTTGATCCTGTAAAAGTACGGTCTTGCTCTGTTCTACCGTAAATCTTACATTGCTACGAAAGTATTTTAGACATTCCTGATGTAAATTGCACCCTTACATGAGCAAAGGCCAATGTATCAGTGCCAATTCTGCATGGCGCGTAGAAATCCGCATAAAAGCAGATGCTTCCGCATAATATATCGTAGTTTTAAAGCTTTTAACGTATTTGTACGGTAAATTTAATCGCCACAGCGTGTTTTTGTAAAAAGTACACTATATAATACTTTTAAAACACTATATATATATGTTTGATATAGCGTTCGCACTGAATTTGAAAATGTAACTCAATTTTAGGATTCAAGCGGCCGAGGATCCGAAACGTAGAGTTGAAAACAGACTCGCAGCGCAAATGGCGCGCGTCGTTGCTGAACCGTGGGCGTGAAATCTCTGCCAAGGCAACGAGCGAGGATGCTTGAGTCCCGTGGGATTGACTTCTCCTCATAGCTTTTCAAAAAGCACTGTGCACTCGCGCCGGCAGTCAGTAGTTATCGGAAACGCCTCGCTTCGATCCTTTGTACTCTCTTTAGAGGCATCGTGTTGCTCTCGACTCGACAAGAGTTCTTATCACCGATGCGCAAAGAGTTCGATGCCGTACATCGTGCGAGATTGCGGCGCAAGAAGCTGGCTAGGACGAGAGGCGCCAACCCACAGAATGCCTTTGGCATCAAATCGCATTGCGGTTCTGAACGACCGAGGTAAAAGTCCCCGCAAACGATGGCGTTGCCAACGATTGCACTACTCTCGCTGCTAATCTTCACACCGTGGACTATGGTGTGTGTTCCATGGCTGAAGACATCAGCTGAATGGTGGTGAAAGTGTGCTAGACACATCGACAGCAATACGTTGTGCTGGCAACCGCTGGATCGCGCCTCGAGCAACCAAATATTTGGTGGCTTTATGTCGAGGACGACGACAAGCGATGGCCCTCGGGTCAACCTAATGAGGAGCGCGGCGGCCAGCGGTCTCGCTGCATGGGCGATGACAAGAATCGCGTTCACCCTCGTCCAAGAAAGAACAGAGGACGATGAGGTAAACGTAGCTTGTACGAGAGAAAAGAATCGCATGTCATTATGACGGATGTGACGGCGATATCCAAGAAGCAAGCTTGCGTTCTACTCGTTGTCGGTCCGCTGCTACCAGTCCCTACGCGCTACGAGCCGAGAGATGGAGATTTCTTGTGTTGAGTTTCGTCATGGTTCTACTACAATCCGAGTTGATTCGAACCGTAGGTTTTAGCCGTGTTGAGACGTGTCCAAGCGTGTCCTTGCGAAACCACTGGCCCACCCACTGCGTTTTATAGCACCAGTGACTCTGCGCATGGCTTTTTCCCTGCGTCGATGCACGTGCTTTATACTAGTAGGTGCTTTCTTCAACACCGTAATAACAGAACGGCTTCGGGCGTAAAAGATAGAAGATGTATTCCTGTGGAACGGGTGGTGTTGAAAAACACCAGTGGGGTGAGCGACCTTGCGTCGCTATCGCTTCAGACTTAGCCGCCAAAGCCGTACAACGTGCGGCCCTGGCGCTTGAGCGCGTACACGACGTCCATGGCCGTCACCGTCTTGCGGCGCGCGTGCTCCGTGTACGTGACCGAGTCCTTGATGACGTTCTCGAGGAAGACCTTGAGCACGCCGCGCGTCTCTTCGTAAATCAAGCCCGAGATGCGCTTGACGCCGCCACGGCGCGCGAGACGGCGGATGGCGGGCTTGGTGATGCCCTGGATGTTGTCGCGGAGGACCTTGCGGTGGCGCTTCGCACCGCCCTTGCCGAGACCCTTACCGCCCTTGCCACGACCAGACATGTTGTTGTTGTTGTGCTTGTTGAAATTGAAAGTGATTGATGTTGGCGAGAGGCGCCAAGACTGTCAGATGAGTTTCGATTGGCTGGTGGTGCAGTCAAAGAGCTCTTTGGATTGGCGGAAATTTTGATAAAGGCTCACAGATCCAACGGCAAGTGTGGACGAAGAGACAATAACCGCACGGCTAGGCCATGCGGCTAGCCAACCTCGCAGGAGAAATCACGGTGTATATCCGGGTGCTCGAAAGGGGGGTGCAGATTCCTCGCAGTCGCTTCGTTTTAGAAAAGCACGCTGTGTCCCTACTGCCACCAGTAGGCTACTGGTGTCAGTAATACACACAACGGTGTCACCCTTGGTATATACATCCTGATGCAATATTCGCTCTATCAAGTAGATAGCTTATCGACGATCGCCGCACCGCCGTCAATGCCACGTTCTGGCGCGCTCCCTATGCAGTTCAACCAATCCCAAGCGACCATGCGCCATGTCGACCAATCCACGCACTTGGCGGGAACAAAACGCATTTCATTGGCGGAAAGTTTTCGGGAGAGACTACTCGGCCGCTGCCCCGCCTTTTTGAACGCGTATCATCTCACTTTGCTCATTTCGAAAGTTCCTTCGACAACAACAACACTACTACTCAAGATGGCCCGCACCAAGCAAACCGCTCGCAAGTCCACCGGTGGCAAGGCGCCCCGCAAGCAGCTCGCCACCAAGGCCGCACGCAAGAGTGCGCCGGCGACCGGCGGTGTCAAGAAGCCCCACCGCTATCGCCCGGGTACGGTCGCGCTCCGTGAGATCCGTCGCTACCAAAAGTCGACCGAGCTCCTCATTCGCAAGCTGCCCTTCCAGCGCCTTGTCCGCGAGATCGCCCAGGACTTCAAAACGGACCTGCGCTTCCAGGGCTCGGCCGTCCTCGCTCTCCAGGAAGCCTCGGAGGCTTACCTCGTTGGCCTCTTTGAGGACACCAACTTGTGTGCGATCCACGCCAAGCGTGTGACGATCATGCCCAAGGACATCCAGCTCGCTCGCCGCATCCGTGGCGAGCGCTCTTAAGTCGCCCCCGGTGACGTAGCCCGTCACCACCCCACACTGGTGTTTTTCAACACCACCCTTTGACAAAGAAACTCCATCCGCCTCCTTTAGGACCAATCAGGTTTTGTTCTTAGAGTGCCAGCGATATAGGTCCACTTAGCAAGCTCATAATGTGATGTCAAGGCTTGTAGCTACCGCTCTTTGAGCGACGACCGATGCAGTACCGCAACCTTAGCCTTACGCAAAGGCCTTGCAGCCGTGCTGGACGATGCACACTTCGTCGGCCGAGCAGCACATGGTCTGCTGGTGAAAGAACTCACAGGCGTGGCCGGCGCCGTCGCAGATCCCGTCCGTCACGTCGCCGTGATAGACGCGGCGAGAGGGCAGTCGGCGCGACGACGCCATGAGCATCGCTACCAGCGCTCGTGAGCGTGCCATATTGCAACTCATCCACGTATTACCAGCCGATGTGTCGACGTCGTGCTGGGTCGCCGGCGTGTTGGCGTCGACAAGCGCCTGGATCGTCTTGCGCCACTGCTCAAAGCTCCACGAGCTATCGGCAGCGTCGTAGTGCACGCCGTTGAGGTAAAACATGGGCGTGCCGCTAATGCCTAGTACACACTCTGTATCATGCACTGGATCGTCGTCGCATCGAGGAGCGCACCGTGGGCCAGCGAGTAGCGGAAGAGCTGACGCGTCTTCTCGTCCATGTCACTGCCGCCATGGCCCGTCATCTGCGCCGACCACGCTTCTTTCGTTAGCTTGGGAAAGGCGGTGCTCGCCCAGTCAAAGAGCAGATCGACGACTTGAACCGCGGTCATGTCCTTCGTGGGCGCGTTGTAGAGGCGGTCTTGGTTCGCGTAGATTGTCTCTAGCCACGGCGGAAACGTCTGGATACCGAGCACATGCGTCTAGTACATGGCGCAGCGTAGGTCATGCGTGATGCGATACGATCGTCTATTACCAGCGTCGCCGCCGACTGCGCGACCGTGAACGCGTGCTTGTGGAAGGGCAGTGGCAGGACCTGGAACGTGATGCGCAGGTCCGAGCCCTTGAACGCCGCCTCGAGCTTCTTCATGGCCGGATACGCGGCCTTGGAGTACGGGCAGAGCTAGTCGAGATGGTTGGTGAGCTACAATGAGACGCGGTGGTCTACGCACGAGGTCGATGAAGATCTCGAGCTGGACGGGCGCCGTCGCGAGGCCGCCCTTGTAGACAAAGCCCGGTGTCGTCGTGGGCACATCGGCGGCGACCAGCGCGACGGCGCAGGCCCACAGCGCAAGGGCGAAGCGTGGCCAGGCCATGCTTTTGCTATCTGAAAGATTTGCGATCGGGGCACGGGCAGCGTATCCGGAGGCCTACTTCAACCGCTTGTCGTTTATCCGTAATTCGTACCAACCGGGTCCTCGGATTACGCATGTCGGCGTCGTACTGTTTTGTTGTAGCAATGGATGCGATGGTATGTATGACAATATTATCCATCTAAAGAAAAGAAATAATCGCTAAACTGACACGACAACATGCGTCTACTGTAGTAAGACGGTGACGAACGCGCAAACTTGAAATACAGGCACGAATTAGGCTATTATTCGTACCGCGCCAACGTTAATTGGTTGAAGGCACGTCGTCTGAGAGGCCGTCTTCGCACGTCTTCGCGATGCGTCGGAGGCTCGCGATGGTGGGTCGCCGAGCGGGAGCTGGGTGGTTCGGTGCACCCATGATCCATGCATCTGCACGCTCTGCGCCCCGCAAATAAATATATGTTGAACGTTCGTGTACTTGCAGACGACCCAGAGATCCCACAAAACTGCAAGCGCATGCTGTATGTGTCTTTGAGTTTGCACGTTTTTGGCCACTTCGCAAAAGCTCCGAAAGTAAGGGGGTTATCGGACCGCCTGATGAGACAGTGGTGGTGGTGCGACGACGACGGTGGCGGCCAAGAGCACTGAGCGTGAGAGACTGTGGGCGGTAGCTGTGGGCGGTCTAGTCGTCGGTTGACCGACTTGAAAAGAGACGACACGTTGTGATCCGAATGCGCCAAGCCAATGACTAATCAAATACGGATGATGTAGAACACGCTATCTGTGTTCGACCCAAAATACATGTGCCCGTGGTAACCGCCAGCGCACTTTCTAGACCATGTCGAGGGCCGAGCGCGGGCGTTCGAGCCTCACGCCGACGGCGCCGCCGCCCGCCAAGCCCAAGCGATTGTCCGTCGAGATTCTTCCGTCAAGCGCGCCAAGCCCGACCCGCCGTCTCAGCGTCAACGCTACTTCGCGCGGGATGAGTCCGCGGCTCCAGCAGGCGCTCCAGACGCGCCAAATCGGCGTCAAAGGCACCACGGTGCAACTGATCAAGCAAATGGACGCCGAGGAGCGCGCCGTGTCGGCGGTTCGACGCGAAAGCATCGCCCAAGCCCGCGCGAAGCGCCAAAGCTTGGAGGTGCCACCCGTGGCACCGATACTACCGGTAGACTTTTGCAAAGGAGTCGTCGACGACGAGAATATGCGTAGCCGACGTCGTCGACGAAGGCGCCACGGAGCCTACAACGAGCGTCGACGCGGCAACTGCGATCCCTCAATCGGTGTCAACTGTCCCGGTGGCGCGCCGGCGACAACGTCGTCGTCCACGACGACACCGAGTAGACGCTCCTACGATGAGAAGCATGTATGTGCTCACGACTGCGGTATAGCTCGTATCCGGGCACCGTTCTGTTTGCCACCGCGCCGCAATACTACGCGGTCGTCCTCGACAATGCCGTGGTGCTCATCGACGTCGCCGAGGCGCGGCTCGCAGCGCCTCCGTCCGTGGCTCCCGTGGAGCTTCCTGCTCTCAACGTGTCACCCAAAGCGAAAGAATCCGCCGTCTCCGTGCCCAGCGGGACCTCTCCGCAGCCGTCCGACCATGGCGACATCGTCGAGCCCGAGTTGGTGCGAACGACCGCCGCCACCGACTGTGGCGACGCGTCGTCCTGGCGCCAATCGCGTCATGTCAGCGCCGTCTCGTCCGCGTCGACGCCGGCAGCGTCACGTACAACGCGCCTCGACGTCCTCTTTGTGACGCGGTGTAGGGCCCGAACTCGGCTCCGTCGATATTGCGCTCCTCGTCAAGCATGCAGAGAGCTACAAGGCGCAACTCCGCCGCTGCAAAGACCACTTGGAAGATCTCAAGTACGCTCTTTGACGAGTGTGTGTATCGACGCCTCACGCCGTCACAGGCAAACGCTCCTGCACCACAGCCACGGCGCGTGTGTTCTCGTCTCGACGTTCCCGTCGTACTTTGGTCGGTGCGACGGCGACGCCAACGACGTGTGCTCGGTCCGAGGTCGGTGTATTTATGGCGGATACCACGGACCGATCCACTAGACATGTGTGGCGTCTTGCATGAAAACATCAGCCTCAGTGCGCTACACATGATCGATACGGGCCGTGAGCTCAGCGCGCAGCGGCAAGAACTCGAGAGCGTGCTGGACGTCTACTACGCGGGCGCGCGCGTCCTCATGGTCGACTCGATTCCGGCTGCGACGAATGGGCACATGAAAGGAGCGTTGATTAGATGGAGGCCAACAGCGCGCCGCAACATAGCGTGCTGCTGCGACGCACAACGGCGATCGAAGGCGACGTGCTGCCCTACACTGCCAACGCCATCGCGCTCACCGACGTACGTCTCCAGAAGCTACTGCCTCTACCTCCGTACGTCCATCCCCGAACGTCATTATGATTGTCTTCCATAATTATGGTCGTTCTTGTATGCTAGCTGGCACGACGACGACGTCGGCGACCAGAAATATTGTGTTCAAACCGACACGGCCGAGTTTTCGATTCACGAGCGGGTACGTCTGCCCCAAGGGTACAGTCATTCGAGTGTGAATGGATGCACCCTTGGTCTGCCGCTGCTTACAGCACCGTTCTCGATGCAGGTGCTGGTCGTGGACGCGACGCTCCCCGGTATTGTTGTCAAGATTGCATCCAGTGCGGTCGTTTGGGTCGAATTCGACGACGGGGATATCGACACGGTCGTGCCGGTGGCCAACCTCCGGAAATGTACGATCTACTTTTGTGCATGGCTTTCTTTGGTGCCATGGTACGGTGTGTAGTTGAACAGGCCGGCGAGACGACGAGCTCGCCACAACCGACGACGCTGCGCCATCGCAACGACGTGTCCATCGGCGACCAAGTCATTGTGCGCAATCCGACGCACAAGAACGACGCCGTCGCGCAGGTGGTCGCAACGGCCAAGGAGACGTGCGACGTTCGGTTTCCCAACGGAAGCTTCGCCACCCACGTACGAACTTGTCATCATTGGTGGAGACTACATAGTGCATTTGGGTAGGTGCCTCTGGACCACGTGCGTCCAGTGGGCATCGAGAAGCCCATAGCGTTTGCTACGCTCGATCATGTCTTGGCGTGGAATCCTCGCTTCGAGCGCTACTGCTCGGGGCAGGTGTCGGAAGCGTCGCACCCGACGTACACGGTCGTTTTTGACTGCGGCGAGACTGTCACCGGTGTGCCGTACGCAGTGATGACGACACTCGACGATGCGTCCGGTAGGTACATCCGGTGCCAACGGACTGTCACGGTTGCGCTAGTGCTGCCACGCAACGGCGGAACGATCACGACCAACTGGGAAAGCGTCCAGGGGTAATCCCTCCTTCGAGCACACTAGTATTTGGCCGTGGGAGCCATATCTGTTCTAGATGGGAAGCCCTCGACCATGCGATTTACGAGTGCCACGGCAACCTGGCGCTGCACAAAATGCTCTGCGAGCCAAAAGCGCAGCACTGCAGCCTCGAACCCGGCACCAAAGTCTTCGCCCGGTACCCGCTCACCGCCAAATACTTTTTGGCCGTTGTCCACAGCGTCGAGAATGGTTTCGTGGTGGTCGATTTTGCGTCCATGCAGCGCAGCCCGTCGCTGCCTCTCAGTCATGTACACACTGTCTTTATTTCGGTTGCAGATATACGTCCTAGTTGCTCTCGATGGCGGAGCCGGCGCCACGGCACTTTGACACACCGATGCTTCTGCGCCTCAACTCGACGTCGGCGCAAACGAGCGCCCGCAACCGCAGTAGACTTTTCCATTCATTTGGAGCCCGACGACGACGACGGTGCGTATGGCGTAGGTATGGGGCCGACGCTGCCGCCGCAGAAGCTGAAAGCACCGAGCTTTCTTTCCCGCGTTCGCACGCTCTTTTTCGGAAAGCACAAGGTCAAGCGCTCATCGGCATCGCGCACGGGCCCCACCAAGACGACGATCCGCTCCAAACGAATGTCGGTCGTCTTGCGTCGGTAGCCGGCCTGTTGCTCTATTAGTACAGTCTGTGTGCACATTTGCATTCGCTGTCTACTCGTGATATGATCGAAAAGAGTTTGCATTCGCTGTCTACTCGTGATATGATCGAAAAGGGGTCTCTGGGCGACGTGGCCACGAAGCCATTGCTTCTGGAATGTGAATGTGCATCGTCACAGCCGTTGGCTTACTCTGCCGTTTACGCAGTATGCTCAAGTCGTGTCCAACACAGCTTGGAAGTTGAAATTTCAAGTGCAATCACCATGGGAATTGACGCGATCCTCCACCAACCTACCCTCCGAACGTGGAGGCGGCAATCGCACGCCCCGTGGAAACTGTATGAGCGCCGTGTTCACCTTTCGATGTGATTTTTAAAGGCCAGGAGACTTCAAGCAAGTAAATATTCGATTGCAGCATTGGCGTAGAGACTCTTCGAGGCCGACCATACCATTGGTTCTACTAATACGAGCACTTACTCTTTGGCACCAAACTCAATGCACGACAACCATACTATCTCGCAAACGCAGACAATGACCGGCCGTTGGCGGCGCCATCATGATCCACAACCTCCACGAGGTTGCCACAGTGTCGGTCGCTATACTTAGCACATGGACGATCGCACGCGTCTCTCTCAAATTCAAATTGCATTCGAACGCGATGGAAGGCTACCTGCTCGTCTTCGACGACCCGTATTCGATCACAAAGGCAGCCAACGTCCGGTACCTCGTGCTCACCGAGGGCACTCTGTCGTTGTACACGCCGCCACCCGCCAAGGCCCACGTGCGGTCCATCTCCCTCTCGCAGCGTCGTCTCCAGCTCGTTGCAATGCCCCATTTGCACCTCTTCCGGCTCACAATGGACGGCGATGCACACCCGCTTTTGTGTCTTGCGAGCTCCAAGGCGTCCATGGACCTCTGGTGCCTCCACTTGCGGAATTGGAACCGGTTTTGCTTTCACACGCCCGTGGCGTGTGGTGCCGACGACGCCGAGCGCGACAAGCTCCGAAATGCGTGGACCACCCACTTGCTTTGCGAAGAAAAGAGCTTTGTGCGGGACCAGTTGCACCGCGGGTTGGCGCCCAAACCGTCGTTTCTTCAGCGGCTGCGGTCGCCTGCTGCGTGGCTCTAGCGTTCGAGGTACGGACACGGCGATTGTTAATGTAATGCTATCCATTTTCCCACGTCGGGCGTGCAGGATTGCGAGCGGGCGTTGACGGTATCAGCAAACGAGAAGGTGACGACGCGTTCGAATGCTCTGTCGTTGGCGGCGGCAGACGTAGGAACGGCGTGGAGGAGACGGCGCGTCGATACTAGTATGTGGACCGTCCAGGGACCAGGTCCCTAACCAGATTCTCAAATGACCCTACTTCTGATGCGCTTCAATCAGATTCTGGTGCGGTAGAAAAGAGCGCTTCCAAGGCCAAGTAGAGCGTCGGACCCAAAGGTATCGAAAGTGGTGCAAGCAGAACGCGCCCGGGAATTGCAGGCGGGATCGATACGCTACATGAATACCTAACACGAGAAGCAATGACGAGACCTTCCGGGAGCCCGGACAGGCGGTGTTTATGTAACCCGAACGCGCATTCGGTCCTGTCCCGGTCGCTACAATTGCGCGTCGTCGGCGCATCCAGTGATCCGCGCGGTGGCCATATCCACGAACGAGGGGATCGGCCGAAAGGCAGACGGAAATGCTGCATCACATCCAATAGAAGAGTTCGTAGTGGCCTTTTCCGCGCGCGTCGATGCAATTGACAGAACCAAAGAGGCATGTCCGTCGTCGTACCGGTTGCAAGGCGTGCACTTTTTCGCTGCGTCAACGCGGCTTTTCTCAAGTCGAGGACGGTTCAGGAAGGCGACGCTGCATGCTTCACACGTCGCTTTCAACATCGCGACATCTCGCAAAGAAACAGGTCTCCCGTTGCTTGCTCGCTGTTTTGGGAGATACCATCAAGTGGTCGTAGCATGTGCCACGTCATGGGCAAAACCGATGTTTGTCCCCGTTTGCCGTTTCTGATTTATATTTCTGGCGCCTTTTATGCGAAAATGCACGAAAATTCTTTCAGTTCTTTGGCCGCTCACCATGTCAAGCGACGCGCTGGGTCGCGTGCACGGTGTGTCGGTGGCGCAGCCTGGCGCCAATGGTGTGTCACGGCGGCACCTCGTCACGCGCTGACGGAACGCAGCGATTTCGTAGTTGCGGACCAGATCGCAGCGGGCAATCGGCCCACAACCGCGGAATTCGCACCCGCCGACGCATATTACTGTAGCGTGGACGCTCGCTCTGTATAGACGCATGTATCGACAGCCTCCTCCTTCCGGTCAACACGCACATTTTTAAGATTCGGCATGACGCGTCGCATGTTCCGGCGCGTCATGCTTTCATTTTAGCGCTCGACCCTTCAATTCGCTTAAACGAGTAGCTAGCGGCGGACGTCGCTTTGGCACTTGATGGCTACCCACCACAAGGACGCGCAACCAAGCTGCTTCGACGTCACCTGCGGCCTCGAATCTTCTGCCCATGCGTATAAATCCGCGCACGTCGTGTGCAATCGCGCTAACGCAGCGTGCATGCATGCCATCTCCACCCAGCCGCAAAACCCCGCAGTCCACAGAAGTTGACTAGCACATGTACAGTACTTGTGGCATTTTTTAGAGTATGTTCAAACATCTCACACGATCAGCAGCGGTTCCATCCGCTGCTCCAAGCAGCAGCCGTTGGACCTATGGCGTTATCTTCGAGCCGATGCCGTGAACCGTTCGTGGCTGCTCCGTTGACTGTGGCTGCTGCGTCGACTGTGGCTGCTGCGTCGACGCTTTTAAAAGATGAGGGTAGCAGCGTCGTCGCAACGGGTGCATTGGGGCACCGATGCGCGCGCGTTCTTGGCAACGCCGGCGCACGAGGGACGAGGCGGATGTACTGATTAAGCGAATACGACGGGCACCGGCGCCGTGTCCCACGATCTCATTGCGACTTTGTATACTTCGTCGCATGTCGCGCTGTTGCGTCAACAGCGTGCAGTGGACCTCGTGACGTCACGGCGTCATTTGTCAACCTTGCTTGGGATTGGCGGAAAAGTAGAAAGCAAACGGTGATTGGTGGAGCGTGCTTTGGCACGCGCCGATTGGAGAAAAAGGCCAACGGCAATGTTGGTCGTTGAGCCAAGCCGATGCCTCGCTTATCTTTCCATTTCCCCATTTCCTTTCGACTAAGAACTACGATGACCGTCGAGCAGCCCGAAGCCCAGCAGCACCTTGCGTCGCTCCAGACGTCGGTCGAGGGCGGTATCCAGGAGACGCAGACGTACCTTGAGAACCTCAAGAAGCAGCTCATGGCCTACGACGCCGAGTACAAGGTCAGCGAGACGGCCACGGGCTACCTCCAGACCGCGATCGAGTCGGCCAACCACGCCGTCGACGAGCTCAAGAAGTCGGCCGAGACGCTGCGCTCGACCACGCTCTCGGCGGCGCAGAAGCCCGTGTCGCTCGTGCAGACGGCGCTCGTCCAGGTCACCGACTCGCTCGCGACCATCAAGGACCAGGCTGCGGTCTACGACGCCAAGTTCAAGAACGCGGTCGGTGAGGCCAAGACGGGCGTCGAAAACTTGACGCTCGCCACGCGCCAGCGCACGACGGACGCCATTCACACGGCCAGCGAACACGCGCACGAGCTCCAGGTGCAGCTCAGCGCCAAGGCGGCCGGCGTGAGCCAGTCGGCCATTGCATACGCCGGCGGCGTCGTGCAGACGGTCGAGGCCTACGACCAGTACTACAACCTCTCGGCCACGCTCCACGAAAAGGTGCAGCTCGCGACCGAGAAGGCCAAGGAGCTCGACGACCAGTACCAGGTCACGCAGAAGGCCTTTGACGTGGACGCCAAGGTGACGGGCGGCCTCGGTGCGCGCGCGATCCAGAAGGGCACGGACATGGTCTCGTCCTCGGTCGCGTACCTCCAGGAGAAGATCCAGTACGCCAAGGACGTGCACAACAACAGCGAGAACGCGTCGCCGGCCTCGCCCGTGGCCTCGGAATAAGCGGGTCGGCCACCGTTTTATGTGTTTAGTCTATCTATGAATCCAGACCCTCATTTACGCTTTGAGATTCGATGGCAGATTCCTGGATCAGCTTTCTTGGACGCCGCCAACGGCAACCTCAAAGTGCAATCTCAAATTTCCCTTCCATGGGTGGCAAATCGAGTAGCTAGCCCATCGACGGCATGGCGCCATCGCCGTCGGACCGCCGCGCGCACCTGGTTCTTCAATCGTCCTCCGTGGGACAGACCACGCTTGCTTATCTCTCAGCGACGGGCAACGGTGCTTCGATGGCCTTTCTCCAACTCTCGCGCACCTGATCCGCATCGTTGGCGCACCTCAGAAGAACGATAGTTGACTAAAAGCTCACGCGGTGACCAGACGCACGTGCCAATGCAGTGTCTGATGCACAAAAGAACCACGACCATGGGCTCGAGACGGGCCATACTACACCTCAACAGAGAGGCCTCGTAAACCGTCGAGTCGACCTCAATCAAATCTCAGTGGCAGTTGGCCGAGGCAGCAAGCGCACCCTTGGAGCACTTGGGGGCAGTTGGCCTCAACAGCCACAGTCACAACCCGTTGGCCACAACCGATCATGATTTTCTGTTTCTGTCGAGTCATAAGGTGGGTCATTTCGGCTGCGATTTCAAACCACACAGCAACTGCTTTGGGCCTTGGCACCGTGGTCACCTCGTGGGCTTGGCTTGGTCGCCTCTGCGACGAACTCCGGGGGCGAAGAGGAGGCTTCTGACGAGAGGGCGCGCATGAGGTAGACATATCCAGCATCACTACTACATGGTACGGTGCTCGTCGTCAGGCCCAATTGCGATCTCATGGTCAAGAACAAAGATCTTATTGGTTGTGCAATGTATATCGCGCCGGCGTCTCTTCGACCAAGAGGTTTTCACAGTGCCACGGGCTCGCGTCCATGGCTTGGAGGAAGAGGCGGCGCTGCGCCGACGCGGTAGCGTAGCTGGCGTGGAGCATCGGGACCGTCGGTGCGCCGGGTGCGGCTTCGTACAACGTCTGGAAGAGCCGGGCGTGGAGGTGCGCGGCCAGTACATCTTGCGACGTCGCCGACGCTTCAATGAGCAAATGCACCGTCGCATGTGCCGTCGTCGCATCGACGTCGGCGTGCAAAAGGTACTTCTCGCTTGGCCAGACGACCGTCGACGGCGTGTACACGGCGTCGAGGCGAGACGCCACTTCGAGTTGCGAGTGCTGCAGATGGCACGCTTTGCCCGAGACCAAGTTGGAGACGAACCGCTCTTGGTCGCTCACCGTGTCCGGCGTCGGGATCGCAGCGGTCGCAATGAACGCATCGAGGATGTGGTTCAACCGCTATACGAATCCAATTTTGAGAGGGTTTTGAGATGGGTTTGAGATGGGTTTGAGGTGGTTTGAGATGGTTTTGAAATGGTTTTGACGTTACCTGCTGATTGAGCGTACGAAGCGAGACGACGCGGAGGCTGTTGTAGAGCGACCAGAGGTTGATGGACGAGAGGACGAAGAACGCGCCGGCACGTGCGACGTGGTCGTGCCAATGATCGGCGAGATCGCAATTCCGACCGCCGTGCCTACGTAGACGGTCGAGCTACCTGTGAAATGCTGCGAAAAGGCGTGTCGTACCGAGGATCGAAGACGCGATCGACTGCGACCCGGCCTTGGCGGTAATGTCGGCAAGGTTCTCGGTCTTGGCAAACGAGTAGTGAAAGCCGGCACGGGTTGCACTGGCCGAGAGCCACGAAATGTTCTTGGCGACCTATCGAGCGCATCCCTTGGGCATGCTAGAGTGTGCGACGACGTACGTTGGCCATGGCCGCCATCGGCAGAAAGTACGCGGGGCAAAGCGGCGTGAGGATCTCTGTGAGCGTCGCTGCGTCCATGGCGAGCGCCGAAACGACGCGCCAGCGCTACGCACATGATCGTCTACGGCGCATACGCTTGAGATGCATGCACCTTGGGGTCCGAGTCGAAGCGGTGGTTGACAAGACTCGCGAAAAGGACGCCGCCAAACTGCCCGAGGCCGTCCTTGATGACCTAGCCACGCACTTCGCCTTCTGCTATATACAAAGACGGTCGAGGACATACCCAGTTCAAGGCCGCGGCCATCGGGATCGCGCCGCTTTGGAGCCCAATCGCGTACAAGAGCGACTGCATCGAGAGCACGCCGCAGGCCGTGCCAGCGACGCTGCCGACAAACTGCCACTTGGCGTACGGCAAGTAGTCGTGCGTCGTCGACGTCTGGTAGTCACGCGGCAAGAAGAGGTCTTCGAGGTAGTACGGAAGGTGCTGCGCGCGGCGAAGGACATCTTTTATCGGCGAGACCGTCGGCGGCGACTGCAATTGCAGCTGCTTGGCGTCACTGAGGGCGACGAAGTCGAGCTGCTTGTGGCCCACCTTCTGCGAAGCGACGAGGCGACCATCGTGCGGCGGCGCGGCGCTGCAGAAGGCGCGGGCGAGCGGCCACGGCGCCGCCAGTCGTCGGCTTGTACGTCTGCACCGCAGCATGCTCGGGACCAGATGCCCATGGCCGTGCCACTTCTCGTATCCGGACAAAGATCGTAGCGGAGGCCGGCACGTATCCGGATGTAAAGGCATACAAAGCGCCAGTGTATGAGCTGGCAGTCCCGCAGACCGTTCGTTGCCAACACGCTAAGGGGCCTAGGGGCAGGATCGATGTACGAAGAGTTGTGAACCTTTGCTCTAGGCAGGTATAGTTGAATAGTAGTCGACGACTATAGTCGAGAGTCGCTAACCTACGCTACTAGTACCCCGACGTCGTTGGGAACGCCCAACCAAGCGACGATCGCCGTCTTGACCTCGTGGAGCGATGCAGCGTCAGCAAAAGACCATAGTGGACTAGCTTTATACGCTCGTGTCGACGAGCAAGTCCTGATATATTGATACTGTCGTCACAGCTCTAGGTCGTGCCACCCCGCAATCGCGGTGGCCAAAGTAGCGCGCACTCCGTGCAACCTTGCTCACGTACATCCGCCCACGCAGCAGCGCAAACACTCGTTGGCTGACATCGATCCGCACCATGCGTTGTCGTGCTGCAGTGTACTGGCCATGGAACTAGAGTAGTGAACAAGGTACTACCATGTACTACATGGCCACCCAAAGGGAGGCACTTAACGCCCGTCAAGCGTCATGGACTGCGATATCTTGCGTCCACGAGGCTGCTCCGGCGCTCGCAATCATGCCCACTGCCATCACCCGTCAAGCGACCACAAAACTGTAGTATGTACAAGTCGTCGTCCCACCAGCGCTCAACTCTAAACAAAGAACCGAGCCATGCAAACGCCTCAATCGGACAAGTGCTGATTGTCTATCGAGTGGTATCGGCCTATTTAACTAGTACTTCCATTGCCTTGAGGCGGCAGGTCTAAAGACATGGTTGGCCTTCCACTGGCTTCGCGGTTTGGTAAACCAAGGATGCGGCATCGACCGCCGTCAGTCTCGGGCGCCATGCACTGGGATGGGTGCCATACAAGCTGCCACGCGCACGTTGTCGACTCAATCCGTTGCGTAGTTGCGCGAGACCCACAGTGTGAGGCTGGTCGGCGGTCGGCCCCTCGGCCGGCCGCCCGTCGACGCCAGATGGTGCCGATCCAGTGTCATTTTTTAATTCCTTTTTCAAATGTATATACTTGGTATTTGTATTCGACGACCGTGGTGTGTTTTAAAATATTGACTAGAAAGGGCAATCTGGCGCATCATTTTGACGACGGACACGATGAGTGCACTGACGCCTGCGCAGCTCAAGACGCCGGTCCCGAGCGACATTGAGATCAGCGATGCGACGACGCCCGTCCACATCCGAGAGATTGCGACGGCCGCCGGCCTCGTACGCTGCGCGCTGCCCTAGAACTTGCTCTCACCTCCTCTAATGTTCATTAGCTCGAGGACGAAATCTACTACTATGGCAAGACCAAGGCCAAGGTCGCGCTCTCGGTGCGCGACCGCCTGAGCCACGTCGAGCACGGCGCGTATGTCGTCGTCACGGGGATCACGCCGACGCCGCTCGGCGAGGGCAAGAGCACGACCACGATCGGGTAGGCCATCCGCTCGTACGTTGCTCGCTCATGCACGGTTTTAGCCTTGCCCAGGCGCTCGGCGCGCATCTGAAAAAGAAGTGCTTTGCATGCATCCGCCAGGTACACCCACCCACCGGTTAGCTTTCGTGTTGCGGACAATGACGCTGGTGGTGTAGCCGTCGCAAGGCCCCACGTTTGGCATCAAGGTGCGCGTCGTATCATCCTCATCATCACCGGCACCGAGCTCACAGGCGTTCTAGGGTGGCGCCGCCGGCGGTGGCTACGCGCAAGTCGTGCCCATGGACGAGTTCAACTTGTACCATATACGATGCCTCGTCACGTGGCGCTGAGTCAATGTGTCGATAGGCACATGACGGGCGACATCCACGCGATCACGGCAGCCAACAACCTCGTATGCAGCGCCACCACAGCACGCTAAGGACTTATTTACACCGGTGCAACTAGTTGTCGGCGGCTATTGACGCGCGTATGTTCCACGAGTCGACGCAGAAGGACAAGGTAGTCGTCGCGGTCTCTCTTCAATGCTTTACACAATGGACTAGGCGCTCTTCAACCGCCTCTGCCCGCCCAAGAAGGACGGGACTCGCGTGTTTGCGCCCGTGATGCTGCGCCGGCTCCGCAAGCTTGGGATCACCAAGACCAACCCGTCCGAGCTCACGGACGACGAGATCAGTCGCTTTGCCCGCCTCGACATTGACCCGGCGACGCTCACGTGGTAGGCGCTCCTGTCTTACTGGCGATATAGATGCAGCTATCGACGACCGATGTAGGAACCGCGTCTTGGATACGTGCGACCGCTTCCTCCGTGGCATCACAATTGGGAAAGCGCCGACCGAGAAGGGCCACGAACGCGAAGCCGGCTTTGACATTACGGTACGTTGCATGTGATGACACTATTGTATACATTGGAGTAGGTTGCGAGCGAGATCATGGCTGTCTTGGCGCTGGCCACGAGCCTCGACGACATGCGCGAGCGCCTCGGCCGCATGGTAGACCCTATGCGTCGAAATGAAGATGATACTAATTCGCTGCATCTAGGTGGTGGGCATGAGCCGCAAGGGCGACCCGGTCACGGCCGACGACCTCGGTGTCGGCGGTGCGCTCACGGCGCTCATGAAGGACGCCATCATGCCGTACGAGGATGCTTATTGTCTGGATTTCGGTGGACTGGAGCGTTGGTTGGCGTAGGACGCTCATGCAAACGGTCGAGCAGACGCCGGTGCTCGTGCACGCTGGGCCGTTCGCCAACATTGCCCACGGCAACTCGTCGATCATTGCCGACCAAATCGCGCTCAAGCTCGTGGGGCGGGACGGCGTCGTCGTCACCGAAGCCGGGTTTGGCGCCGACATTGGCATGGAAAAATTCTTCGACATCAAGTGCCGCTACTCGGGCCTGCGCCCGCAGTGCGTCGTGCTCGTTGCGACCGTGCGTGCGCTCAAGATGCACGGCGGCGGCCCCACGGTCACGGCCGGGAAACCCGTACGTATTTTTTGTATTGTTTGTCTTTTGGATGATTTTTGGATGATTTTTGGATGATTTTACAACTTTTTTTCCTAGTTGGACGCGGTGTACGTGGATGAAAACCTCGCGCTTGTCACCGCCGGCTGCGACAATATGATGCAGCACATTCGCAACGCGGTACAATATTGTCGTCTAGCTCATTGAACCAACTTTATGTATGGACGTAGCGCAAGTTTGGCGTCTCGGTCGTCGTCTCGGTCAACCGGTTCGCAACCGACTCGGACAAGGAAATCGCGATCGTGTGCGCCAAGGCCGTTGAGGCTGGTGCGCTCGCCGCCGTCGAGTGCAACCACTGGTAGTACTACATGGTTCGATACCGACAACGGGTGGTCATCAACATGTAGGGCCCTCGGGGGCGGGGGCTGTCGAGCTCGCCGAGGCTGTCGTCCAGGCCTGTGCCGCGCCGACCAACCACTTTGAATTCTTGTACCCGCTCGAGGCGTCGATCGAAGAGAAGGCGCGCGCCGTGTGCCAAAAGATCTATGGCGCCGACGACGTCATCTTCTCGGACCTCGCCAAGACCAAGCTCGAGGTCTTTACCAAGTGCGGCTATGGCCACTTTCCCATCTGTATGGCCAAGACGCACCTCAGCTTCAGCACGGACCCGGCCAAGAAGAACGTGCCGACCGGGTATACAACACTCGTACAATCGTGTGGGTGGCTCAATCGAGGATTAGGTTTTCGGTGACGATCCGTGACATTCGCGCGTCGGTCGGCGCTGGGTTCCTCTACCTTCTCTGCGGCGACATCATGACGGTGCCGGGTCTCCCGACGCGCCCGGGCTTCTATGACATTGACGTTGATACGACGTCGGGCAAGATCATCGGCCTCTTCTAAGGCAGCGACTTGAAGATTAACAGGCGTAGACAGAGCTTGAGCTCACGTCGTTTTCAATACATGCCTGCGTACACATTCGACATACTACCCTTGATTGATCCTCGCACGCCGTCCGATCCGGCGAGACGCAGGCGTCTGCACCGGTCACATACCTCCAATCACGCTGATACCAAGAAGCATTCGCTCGCCATACCATCGCCGACGTCAGAGGCCAGTGGACCCACGCATCCACCATCCACTCCTTCTATCGTCCTAGCAAATGGTGCCTAGCTACTCACGCCCGTCGATCCATACTGATGCCCTGCGAGTCCTCTCACTTACCCTACCCCCACCGTCGCGCGCCAAAAGGTCCTCCAACAACGAGGTGGGCGGGACGTGGCAACGACGACACTGCATATTTCATTTTAATGGAACCCAAGCAAGTGGGTTATTCGTCGCAGAATGGTCCGCTTCGGGTGGTGCCGTGGCGGTTGTGGCTTGCGCTTGGGCTCTGGCAACGCGTCGGTCGTCGACGCCGGTGCTATCCAAGCATGTCGTTGCTGTCAGCGTTGGACTGTAATCAAACCTGGTTTGGGCGACGGCTTCTCCATCACTTTGACGGGCTCTTTTGCCGTTGACAGAATCTACAAAAGCAAACATTCAACAACAATCCAAGGCGCATGCGTGGGTACATGGCTGCAAGGGACGTTGCGTTGCAGGTGGCCCGACTCGAACATGATGTTGACGCTGAGGTCGTCATGGATTTTGACGAGAATGCCCCGAGAGTACTGCGGTGAGTCCCAGTACCGCGCGAGGACAACGTCGCCAATGTGAAACTGGCTGTACCAATATTGCATCTGCGCCGGGACGCACAGCATTTGATGCAAGAGCGGATCGCCTTTGCACGCCACGGACGTGTCAAGCACGCCTTCCCACCTAGGCGGCATCAATGGTGAGGTCATTGCTCGATCGCATCGCTTTTGTATGTACGGTACCCGTGCGAGTAGTTCCACGTCGGCGCCAAGCGGTTGCCACGACTGTCGCAGATGACTAGCCCTCCATGTTAGTTCCTACGCCGATTCAAATACAAGACTAGCATCACCTTTGGTGTAGAGCACATCGACGACTTTGGTGAGCGGCATCTCGGCGTAGATTTCGCCGTAATCAAAGACAACCGTGACGCCGGCGTTGGTCCGCTCCAGCACGGTGCCGACGCAGTACTGCTGCCAACGAGGACTAAAGGCCAAGACCAAGTCGTGGGCCTGAAAGTCTGTCTTGATACGGGACTGGGTGCCACACCGGGCCTACACCCGTGCCCGGCTTCATCGCGAGATCGGGAGAGGATGTACATACCGAGAGCAGGGGCGGCAACGACGACCAGCCGCTTTCGTGCGTCGATGCGTGGGCCGACGAGGTGCTGGAGAGATGAAAGACCTTGGAGATGCTCGACTTGTTCATATAGGCTTCAATCGAGTCCTCCGTCGCTACGCGATACGAAAAAAGTGCAGCGTATGCAACGTGGCGGTGTCGAACCCGGGTCCAGTTCGTCGCAGTGGACGCAGCCGTCGGTAAACCCTGTTTCAAGCTCGAGCGCCATTGTCGCGTTCGAGTTGATGGCGACGATGAGTCCGGCGGTCTTGGTGTCGCGCACTTGCACCTAAAAACGTCATCGTCGACGGTGGGTACCGAGTAGTATTGATAGTTTACGGACCCGTGCATGCAGTGTGAACGATGCCCCCCGGCCATTTTCAATTTGCGTCTGCGACGTCACGAACGGCCACCTACGACGGCGCGCGTGAGACACCGATAGACACTATTGCCATCAGCATCGGCGTGTACGGGTAGATCATGGCCACCGGATTCTCGACCTACGACCAAATTAATCCTCATCTATCGGAGACGAAGTGCAATCTACCATGGCTGTCAGCTGCGCGCAGTGCTCTTGCAGTTGTGTGTCAATGGTGATGATTTCAACAAGGCGCGATGACACTTGGTGGTGTAAATGGCGCTGTCCGTCTATACTCTCATGCGTCCATCCCGTCCAATACCTCTGTATGGATACCGAGAATGTCGAGGAGGGTGCCGCCGGCGTACACGACTTGGATGCATCCAAAGTAGGCCGGTGGACCCCGGACGAGAACGTGAGCGCCCACCGCGATCTCTGTCGGCGGCGTGCCTCCATCTCTACACATGTGTAGTACAGATAGGACGAAGCGCAAGGGCATAGGGCGAGCGCCGTACAGGCGAGAGAGCACATGTGCCTTGAGCTTCTCGACGTGCGAGACAAGTTCCTTGGACACGGGGGCCGCTACGCATTGGATGGTGCCGCATTCCTCGGACAGGGAAGCAGAGTACGTGACAACGTCGCTGGTCGCTCGCCAACGAGGATCTTGGAGCCACGGGTCGACGACGTTGGCCGCGTCACGAGATAGGACGTGATCCGCGGCAGCCACCACGTCGTAAATTCGACACCATCGTCGGCATCAACTACGGACCACAGAGCTGACACGCTTCTTGGCGCTCATAAGTATGTCGTACACGCAGGATCGTCGTCGCTTGGAGGCACGGCGCATTCGACGAGATCGGTTTCGGCCACATCGTCGACGACGTCGGCGTCGTCGAGGACGACGGTGTAGCGATCGGACGCTGGATGCCCCGCCACGGTGCCGCGGCGGGTGTCACTACCAGAGACTCTCCGATTGATTGGTTGCTCTCGCGAGCGATACATGTTGCGTACTCGACCACGAACGCTACATGGCAGCCCCGCGGAAACCGGTGCGTGGTTGACGGAGGCGCGAGCAAGCCCGAGATGACCCGACGCAGCCCTTTCTCGTCGTCCTAACGATGGACAGTCGTTATCGGAAGCCACTCGCCGTAGGCACGTACGGGCGCCGAGAGAGTGCGCCGGGTCGACGGCTGGCGCGCGCCAAAGTAGAGCTTGGGCAGCACCGACGACGGCTTGCGCGTGTTGGCAAACGACTGGCACCCCCATGGTTGAGGACTCTCTTTCGACGACGGGTGACTGCTCTTGGCGAGGACCGGCACACTCTGGTGCCGGTGCGCCCTGTCTTTCGGCACATCGTCCATAATTCCAAATCCGCGTCGCTCTCACGACCGCCTAAATTTGGCACCGATGGCGCCACTGGCGTTTCGCAGTCAGACACCGTCGTGGCATCGATACTAGATCTGACGCGTTTATCAACGACTCCGTGGTACACTGACTGTAAGCGCAAGGCAGCAACAAGCGTGTGCGTACAAGTACTCGTGTTCGACACATCGTTCTGCGCTGACGGTGGCGATCGTCAGCACCACCCAGCGCTCCCTGTTCTGTAGTACAGTTCGTCCAAGAACGACGACGGCGTGGGCATGGCCGGCAACGACGTGATTCTCTGCTTGGATAGCGGTGGCAGATCTGAAACCTACTGGACACTGCCGTCGCCAACGTGCAACGGTCGCACCCATACGCGAAAGTCGATTTTGAGCCCTACACCTAAATCTGGTACGGCATTCCATCACAACGCACACATCGTGAATGGTGGAAATATGAGGGACGATGGAAGAGACAAGACACCAAGCGGGCGATGGTATCGCAAACCAACATGCCTTTACAAGCGCCACTTGGCTCTTAGCAATCTCAGAAAGGCGCACAGCCGGCCAAAGAGCGTCAACACCGGTGGCGGTGGAAGTGCAGGCGCCGGTGGGCCTTCGCGGCGCGACGACGTTGTCGTGAACAGCGCTGCCATGAGACGCCGCGCATTCAGGTCCGACTCTTTCGCAGCTAAGGAGTAGTCAGCGGTCAATGCACGATGTAGGGACTTGCGCCAACAAGACCTTTTGATGTCGCGTTGGGGTCGGCATCGTAGGCGCGGGGCGCCGAGTGCCCGATCGAAAACACCTACAACCGATTGCCTCGATACGTCGTCGTCGTCGTCGTCGTCGTTCTACCTTGCGCAATGGCACGTTGGGGACATCGAGCGTCGATGCAAATTGCACGTCGACGGTCGGGTCCTCGGTATCGTTGTGCAGCGCGCGCACGACGCCGAGAAAATACTTGTGCGACTCGTGGAACGTGGCGAGGATTGCGTCGCCCACGTGCACTGGGTTGGTCTCTCGCTTCTTGGCGGAGCACAGCATCTTGTGCAGCATGAGGTCGCCGTGGCAGGCAAACGACGGCGTCGTCTCTTCGATCGCATCGAGGCTATCAACGAGAGGGGTTCCATTTTTATCAAAAATCTTTCTTGGCATGTACCCGTTGACGCTCCGCCATAGGTTGGTGAGGCGCTTCCGCGGTGTTAGCACTAGACATTGCATTAAGCACACAAACAATGGTAGGTGGCGATGTGGCTACCGAGCGTGTTTTCAAGCACGTGGACGGCGTCGTGGGGGACGCCGGTGTACGTCTCGCCGTAATCAAACACAATCGTGTACGTAGCCGCCGGCTTTGCAACCGTGACGGCAGCGACTTGGCCCGAGCAGCACCGGCGAAGCCGCGGACTCATGGCGAGCACATGGTCGTGAAGTGCAAACACGTGCGGCTTTGTCGGAATCGCCGTCACCGACGTCGACAGGACCAGACTCGTGTCCATCTACCGCCATGGATTTCAGCATCTTGATGGCAAGGCAGTTGGCTACTGCGAACGTACGCGTGACGCGACGACACTGTCGGCGAACTGCACGTCGTACGAGTGAGCATGCACGCCGACGACGCGGCAGCGCTCGGGTAGATTGCTCTGCGGGTGCTTGGCAATGACCCACTCGTCCAGTGCACGGGCTTCGGGGCCTCGGTCCAACCCAAAGGCGGCACTGAGGCCACTTGCACGAAACGCACGGCTCGTGTCGTGCCGGTTGGTATCTATACTACAATGAGATGGGCAGCAGAAGCGACGACGACGACTTTACATTTTCGCAAGCAAAAGGTTGGCACCCCGGCGGCGACTTCGCCCGTGTCAAACTCGATGATGACGCTTTGCAGCGAACTGATTTCGGTGATGACTCCGAGCATCGACGTGCCTGCTTCAAGGTCTTGGATCGTCACCTAACCCACGAATGACATGGGCGCGTCGATCCATGCAGCGGTACCTGCTCGTGGATCGTAAACTCGACCGCACCAACGACGACCTTGAGGAGCGGTTCGAGAGGGGCGTGGGGGATGTGGTCCTGGTTCCTACAAACATGAAAAACCAATAATGACGCCAGTGTGCTGGAAGGCGACGAACGATGTCACGGCAATAAGCTGATGAATATGCACGTTGTCGACGGAGGTTTTCGATTTTTCGAGCAGGAGCTGGCACTCGGTGGGCGACCGTCGCCGAATGATGACACCGGCTTGCAGGTGTTGCCCGTCCTCGCCCTGCATCTACATTGATTATCGATGTAAGAGGTAATGAACATAGGTCGTCCATTGTAGCACATACAAAGAGAACGCGGGCCCCAGGAAAGAAACAGTCGACTTGCTTGCTGAGCTCTTGATGCTGGGCCACGAGTTCTTTGGCGACGTGCATGACCTCGATCTCGTGCAGCCCGACGGTTGTCCGGACGTCGGACGCCGGTGGCACGAGACCTATCGCTGCCGTGACGAGAACGAAATCAATTGAATGGGCCTACTGCTGATTTCACACGTGTTGGCTTCCGCGCAGATGCTCTCGAGCTTCCCAAAGAAGCACGGCGACGATGTCACCCTGACGACGGCGCCTTTGACAAGCGTCTGGCGCTTCCTACGACGCACGCCATGACGCTCTTTCGAGACACGTTGAGGTAGCAATACAATAAGAGGGAGGGTGATAGCGACCGGAGGCGCGCTTTGACCTCTTCGAGCCGGTCGTGCACAAGCCGGAGTCGCTCTTCTTGCTTCTTGGCCATGTCAAGCACGAGGATCTCGGCCATGGGCATCTCGAGGCTCGACGAGTCTAGCACAATGGTTTCGACACTTGAGTATTCTCGATGGGCTTGATTCATGTACGTACAGTCACCGGACGGGTACAGCTGGGACGACGTGCAACTGACTTGCGACGACAGCTCGCGCGGCTTGGTCGCGTTCAAGAACGGCTGCCGCTGGCTCAAATGCTCTGCCGTCGGGCCCGTGACGACCGCGGCGGCAAGGACCATCTCGCTCTCGGTCGATTCTATGTTGAAATGGCATCGAGAGACACGGCGACGGTTGCCCTACCGTCGGCGGGAGCGTCGATCGGTTGCGGGGTGCCGTCCTCTGCGTCGTCGCCCATCATCTCGCCGGGCCGGCGATCGGTGTCGATGTCGGTCTCGTAGATCTCGTCGACGATCGTTGCGTCGTCAAACACCACCATGTACACCCGCGGTGCCACAATCTTTTGAATGTGCCCCGGCGAAAACCTACACACAACCAGTTGAGACCTTGACAGTTGACTCATGGTGGTGGCATATATGTACTCGGTAGCTGTGATTTTTGCAAACACGCGGTCGCCGGGTTGCCAGCGCGACGTCGGGTCCCGGACCCGGAGACCGTCGTAGATGTCCTTTTGAGACAGACTGTGGCGCTCGACTTCGTTCAGTCGCGGCGGCCTGCGCCGTTGCATATCGTGGCCAGTTGGACTCGGCGGCTTGGATACCTCGGGCAAGGGCGCCACGGTCGCCGAGTGCCCCCAGTAGCCGTCGCCGTCGATGCACTGCGGCCGTCGCGACTCGGTTTTGCACTTGGCCGGGCTCCGTTGCGGGCTCCGCGACGGCGTCCGGTGGCTGACCGCGCGCGGGAGCCGTCGCCGCTCGAGCCGAATCGGCGCCACAGTTGCCCCGTGCATGCTTTTTATAAACTGGCGAAAACGACACGGCCTGCCATTGATAACGCTTCCCGCGACGCGGTGTGACTCCTCGTCAACGGCACGATCTTTTTTCGGGGCGTACGGGCTACCGGAACGTACCGAAATTAGACGGGCTCACCAAAGTGTCGTGGTGAGTTTGGCGACGGGCTTTGGTGTTTCTGCAACCAGCAGCACCAAATGCACCACAGGACAACCTGTCAACGGAACCCCTCATGGTCCTCTTCCGACGTTGTCAGATATGTTCCTTTATGCCAATCCGCGCACGTCCTCTCGCGCTACCTTTGTGTACCGTGTTGCATGGAACGCCGCGGCGGTCTGGCTTAGCGTGCCCTCTCTCCGTTCTTTGATGCACGCGAGTGCCCGGGGGAAGGGTGGCTTGCCTGAATGGGCATCCCAGCCCCGGGGGAGGAGTAGTGGGTTGCTTCACGAGAGTCGAAATCGAGATGCTCTGCTCTCGAAAAGATAAGCTCTTAGCGTCGCCACTGCCTTCTCTGCAAGAGCCCGAGACGTACGAGCATCCCTTGCAGGTGCAACGCCCGTCGCTGGTCGCTGGCTTTCTCTACGCCTCTGTCGCTGCGCCGTACTCGGACCACAAGGTAGACCATTCTTGGCGATCTTGCGCGCTAGCGCTCTGTATTGTTGAAAGCTTGAACGCAACAACTGGGTCGTCCACATGACGCTGACGCGACTTTCTGCTGCTGCGCTCGCGAGCAAGGCAGCTACTTTCACACGACTGCACATCCGGCACTTGGCTTGACATCGCTTGACAGCCCCCTCCGCAAGGATGTCTGGTGCGATTGCTACCTTGTTCCTCGCACGATCCCGAACCATAACCGCAAGCGCTTCGCACCGGCCTACCTCACGAGCGCATAAGGAAGTCCGCCATATCTTTCTACTGGCATGTTGAGAACTCTTTCAACAATGTCCTCTTGCCATTGAAAAGGTGTCTGTCCCTATGCATGTTTTTCGTGAGGAACACTCAACGACTGTCAAATGCGCTCGTAGCACAAAGCTGGCTGCGTCCGGCGACGTGCGTGCGTCAGTAGCCTCGTCAGAGAGTTGTACGAGAAGCGAGATGTCGCTTTAGATCCGCACGCTGTGCACCGAGTGCCGAGGTAGTCTTCGCCGCGGACCAAGTGGCAAAGTACCAGAGCTCGGCTTGGATGGTGGCCGCGTTGAGATGGTTACAGTGGTTCCAACACCGCCACGGATCCAACACGTACGTGTCGCACCCAGCACGACGGATAGATTCTCCTGCGACGTTGCACTTGGACGTCGACAGGGTGGACTCCTGAAATGGGATAAATAATAGATGCTCTCTTTTTGTTCAGGCGCTCGTCGCCTTGTGCACGAGCCGCTTCAGCTTGCGCAATAGGGCCCGGAAGAAGAAACGGGGCTGCACCGAGATGCGGCCCGGAGGGCTGTGTTGGTCCACGGACAAGTCGGACGCCATCATCGGGCCCGATAAAATCTTGGAGAGAGAGAAGCGGCGCGGCAGCACGGCGATCTGCTGCATGCTTGAGGCATGAAGGCGATTGGCCATCGACATCGAGTTGGCCATCGGCGGAACGCTGTCCTTCTCGGCCGACTCTGGTAGGATCACAGTCATCTTGGCCTCCTCTTCGGGCGCCGTGAGGGAGAACGCGATGGGTTTGTCGTACTTGGGGTCGACAAGAAAGATCTACGGTCGTCGTATCGATGAGCCTCCGACGGTCTCTCGATCAGCGCGGCCGTACGTGGTCATAAGGCACGGTGTCGTCGACTTCGGACGAAGCGTACAGGACGCGGACGGTGGCTTCGTCAATGTGCAGCACCACGGCTTGAAAGTACTTGAACGCGCCGCGGTAACGCGCCATGACGAGATCGCCGACCGCGCACGGCGGCTTGACGTTGGTCGTGAGGTTCGGGACACACACGGCATCGTGGATGCTTGCGCTGTTCTTGCAAGGGTACAAAATGTCCGTCATGTAGCTACAAAAAGCGTCCTTGTCACGACGACGTCCGTCGACTGTCACTGTACCCGTTGACACTGTTCCAGTTGTGCGTAATGCGCTTCGTTGGCGTCAAGACTAGTCGTCGTCCGTCGCCCGTTGCACCCACACCGGAAGAGGGTAGAAGGGTACCGTGGGTGTTGCAAATGTGCGTGATGACGTCAAAGGGCACCTTGTCAATGACCTCGCCATAGTCGAACGCCACCATGTACGTGACGGGCGTCGCATTCGCATGAACCGCTTGGACCTGCGCCGTGCAGTAGCGCTGGAACCGGTGGCTGAAGACGAGCACGTGCTGATTGGCCTTGAAATGACCCGCGTACGACCGCGGTGCGATGGGCGGTGGGATTGACGCGACCGTCAAGCAGCTCTGGTTGAGTCGGCTTCGTGGCATCTACTCGACACATTGCAACGAAGTTGGGGCTTTCCACGCCTACGTGGAGGACGATGACGCCGTCCAAAAAGCAAATGTCGCACGAGCTGGCGTGGACGCAGGTGATTTTGGCTTTCGCCACGGCTTTCGTCACCGGATGCAGCGCCATGACGATATCGTCGTTGATGTAGCCCACGGGGCCGCAGTTGGGCGGTCTTATTCGGCCCCGGTCCTTGCGCGTGTCGTCTGCGTCATCATCATGTGCATACTCGTCGAAGAAGACAAAGGAGTAGGGATACATTTCTCGAGAAGCTGCACCGAGACACTGCCGTCCATGTCGCCGTTCTCATAGTCGATGACAACGGTTCGGTTGCTGTTGATGCCCGAGATGACACCGGCCATGTAGATTTTGGTCATATTGTCCATATCGAGCACGTAAACCTAAGACGACTCGATCAGCGACATTGCCTCGGACGGTCGCAGACGAATTCGTGGATGCGAAAGATCACAGAGCCGTGTTTGATTTGAAGCGTCTTCTTCTGCAGTTGCGGCAACGGGACCGAGAGCCTAGACCACAGAACTACTACCCGAGCGTTTTCGACGATGGGATACCCTTGGATTGGAATCAGCTGCTGCGCGCGGACGCGGGCCATGGTTTCGCTGGTGCGGTCAATCTTGATGTCGTATTCGTACTCGGCCGAGCGTCGTCGGATCGTAGCATGCGTGAGCTGCCCCCGACGCACCATCTACCGCCAGTGTCCCAACGTTTTTCTTGCGTTGGAAAGAGTTGTACCACAAGCACGCGGGCGCCGGGGTAGTAGAGATCCACGAGACGACTGAGCGCTTCGTGCTGCCGCTTCAAGTCCGCTGCGGTTGTGAGCACCTGGATGGCGTCCAGCGGCACCTGCTGCCTTCCGCTGCGACCGTCGAGGCCTAGTTATATTTTGAAAATGAAAAAATCAGCCAGTAGAGCTTGTACTGAGGACATCCGCGAGGCCGTTGGGGAGCAAGGCGGCCACCTTGCCATAGTAGCACGGCTCGCCCAGCACCAAGACGGGCGTGCCCGACATGGACGCGTTGGACTGTCGCCTACAGCGAACCATGTTCGTACGTAGTACCAATACGACAACGCAAGCATACTCGGCGTTGACGGCATTGAGTTTGGTTTGGAGGCGGTGCAGCTGTGCATACAGAAGCTTGAGCTGGTGGGCACGCACGGCAGGCACGGAAATGTCCAAAAGAAACACATCTTGGATCGTCACGTCCGTCGTGTCGGCGTCTGTGCATCGCGCACAGTGTATTGTTGCATCGCATGCGATTTAAGTCGTACCGTCGGCCGGATTGTACATGTGGGACGGTGTCGTGACGAGCGTCGAGACGACGGCCACGTCGGACGCGAGCACGGTGCTTGCATCGACCATCGGTGGCGCGAGCCGCTGGATATGGTCCTTGAGCCCTTCGAGAAGCGTCGCGTTGAGGTCGAGGACCGTCGACGACGCTGATCGTGTGTCTTCGCCAACGGAGCTCGACTCGCTGCAGGCGGAAGCCCAGGACACCGCTGGGCGTTGCGGTAGTCCTCGTCCATTGCTACACGAAAAACATTTGGTTGAGCACCGAGTGTCCACGACGCGCACACCTTCGAGCGTCAGGCTAACGTCGTTCAAGTTGGGGCCTCCATGGTCGCGCATCACTTCAACATCACGGATGTTGCTCTCGGGCACTTTATTGTCCATGCTGGCGTCGTCGAAGACGATCATGTACAAGCCGGGCCCGACCGCTTTCTGAACCGTGCCCGGTGCAAAGTCACGCTTGCCCGCGGGCTTTGCAAACACGTGTTGGCCGGGCGCCCACGTGACGGCCTTCCCTCGGGGGCTGTTGACTGGACACGGAGTGGTGGTTTTTGGCGCCTTGGGCGTTGGTTCAAACTTGCGCACGCTTTTGGGCAGCGCCTAGTTTGTTCAATCAACTTCTGTAAACCGCATTGCAGTGGAGCGTTGACGCACAACGACTCGTTTGGGCTTGGCGGGCACTGGCGCTGCCACGTCACTCGGCATTACAGACGCGATACGTGGGCTCGGCGGCACATGGTGACTGTTGGGCGCCAACGCAGTCGCTAGCAACAACGGCGGCACGGTCGTCATCGCCATCAAATCGTTGATCACGGCCACTTGCGCTTGGCTCATCGCGTTCTCAATGGATTGGGTGTCGGTCACGAGCCGGGACTTGGGCACCCGCGGACAGCTCATTGCCATGTTGAGTGGGAGGGACCGTACCGATTCGGGCTTGTCATCGACGACCATGTGCGACGATAGAGCGTCCGATGGCTTGCTTAAGAGGACGATCGACCGGCGCGGGCGCAGACGCGGCGTTCGAGGGGAAGAAAAGGTGTCGCCACCCCGCGCCGACACAATGTGGGCGCCCGACCGACTCGAGACGCAGTCGCGAAGCTTGGGCGGCACCTTGACGTCTTCATCCGGGAGCACCTGTGGCAGCGACCGGCGAAACCGGTAGCCCACCAAGTCTAAGTGCGGTGGCACTGGCACTGGCAGATTGTCGTTCTGGCGACAGGGACCAAGGTGTTTGTCCGGTGGCGTCACTTGCTGGATTGGCATGGTGTGGCCATGTGCTTTCGCGTCGCGCTCGATGTTGCCTGTCCTCGACAACTTTGTTATTTTTGGCGCCCAACTGAGCCAAGGAAAACCGACAGCCATCCGTTGCTTGCTGGCGACGCCACATACAACACATGTCTCTTCATGTATGTCGTAGATTGATAAAGTATAGTACGCTAACGCGCTTCGTCTGCGAGCAAGTCGAGCAACACCGCGACGGCGCGCGCCTGGCCGTGCATACGAGCGACGTGCAGCGGCGACCCACCCCATAGAAACTACGCACCACATCAAGAAGCTACTCGAAATCGTTCAAGCTGCTTGTACCGAGATGTCCTTGCATGGGTCGACAAGCGGCGTGTGAAGGCGCGCGACATGCTCGATCAACTCGACGTGCCCGTGCATGGCCGCTATGTGCAACCAGGTCCAGCCGACCTATATCATGTCGCAAACCAGCTACGTTGCAGCGGAGGTGCGACCAACCTGTGGCACGGTAGCGTCCAAGGCGCTACCAATGGCAAGGAGCTCGTCCACCATATGAATATGGTTGCCCGCCACGGCTTCCAGGAGCGGTGTATACCCCCGCTGCCGCTCCCATAGCATCATCCTCATGCCGGTTCATCCATCGTAACATACGTGATTGACGGCAGCGAGCACACCGGGAAGGCGCGCCTCGAGGCGTGGCCAGAGCGACCGCAGCAGCTCTGGGCGGTTGTACTGCGCCAAAGGTGCACGAGCGTGTTGCCAGCCTACAGGAGTCTCTCTCCACCATCGCTCAATCGTCTCGGTGCGTAGTACCTCGTCGATGTGCTCCACCGCGGCGCCGGCGTCGACGAGACGTTGGACCACGGTGTCGTGACCGTGCACGGCAGCGGCCAAGCAGGGCGTCCAGCCATTTTCCTACGCAGACGACGACGACGACGACACATCAACACGAGCATGGAAGCGTCGGAGCGTACGTCGATCGCGTCGGCAGCGACGCCGTGTTGGAGAAGCAGAGCGACGACTGCGTCATGCCCGTTGGCGGCGGCCGAGCACAGTGCCATCGGTCCTTCCTAGGAACACGAATGATGACGATAATGGACGCTCAAAATGTGCACTCGTCCGGACCGTGGCAATGTCCACCACGTCGGCCGCAAGCCAAAATGCAGTTGCTTCGATATGGCCGTGAAACGCAGCTAGCTGCAGTAACCGAGCGTCCGACGGCACACACCGCGCATCGGAAGCCAGTCGTTTCAGCAGCGCCACGTCACCAAAACGGGTTGCCACGTGCAACGCCGTGAGCTCGTCCGACTAGACGTGGTCGCGATGCCGTGTTGAGAGCGTGCATCACTGGCCGTACCGATCGTGGCGCGCTGGCATCGGCACCGGCGGCCAAGAGCACGTCGACGACGTCCAGGTGTCGGCAGTACGCAGCAACGAGCAAGGCCGTCGATCCCTCCTACGCCACGGGCGTTGCCATGATATATGGTCGGATAGGGTAGCGTACCGAGTCGGTGGCGTCGACGCTCGCGCCGGCGCGCAGCAATGCACGACAGGTCTCCACGTCACCGCTACTTGCCGCTGCCATGAGCGGTGTGGTACCGACGGCATCGACGGCAGCGTCGACGCCATCAGGACGCTTCTACACCCACACGAGAGAAAAGGTGGGGAGTGCGACGGCGTGACGAGGCTTACATGAGATGGCTCGCATACGGCGCAGAGTCGACCGAGTGCCTTGGTTTCCCAGTACCGGCGCTCAAATAGCGCCGGATTCGACGAGCCCATGTCCTGCTTTGTCGTTGATCCATGAGCTCGGTACCCGGCACAGAGCAATGCGAGAGGGATCACCGCGGTCGCCCAACGACTGCATCGACGTGTGCTCCAACGCATGCTCACGACTCGATCTCAACGTGAAACGGTCGAGTTGTAGAGGTAATAGGTACTCGTGGGACAGGACGCAATGACGAACCGTAAAATGGACAATAAGACAATGTTGGGTTCGATTGCACACGAATTGTCCTCAAATAGCACTCATTCTCACAAGGCGACGGCCAGCGCCGCCGAGTGCCACCCGCCAAAGCCAATATCAAACACAAAGAGGTTCTCGAGACCCGTTGTCACCTGGGTCGGTGTCGGCACTTCGCGGTTGCCGTGGTCGCCGGTGCCGAGGGCGGCCGAGCCATTGCCCCATGTCCAGACGTGCCCCGTGCTTGTGAGCACGCCCGAGTGCCAGTCGCCATGCGTCACCTTGCACACGCCGAGACTCGCCAGCGTCGCCGGCGTCACGTCGTTGAGATCGGTGCTCGTGACGGCAAAACACTGGACCGAGTTGGTACGACCGTTGAAAATCGAAAGCGTCCGGAAGCACGCCGTAGCATGTGTCGCAACGACGGGGCGACCATCGTCGTCGTTGAGCCGCGCAAGGTCCATGGGGTTTTGGCGCCAGAGGTATACGTGACCGGCGTCGGTGACGACCGCGGTAAAGTCTTCCCCTGCGACGACTTGCACGGCGCGGGCATCGTCGAGCGGCAGCTGCACCATGGCTTTCGAGGCCATGGCGTCGAGGTCGTCAAGGTGGCTCGTCTTGACAGCGCCGTTCGCAAAGAGCACGGCGACGTGGCTCCAGCCCGCAACGACGTCGACGACGGGCGCGTCCTTTGCCGAGTTGCATTGGACAGGCGAACCCAACTCGGTCCAGGCGTACGCGGCGCCGCTCTCGCCCCGCGCGCATCCGTGCGTGCGCCCGCTGCTCAGGCTCCGACACGGCTCGTGCAACGGGACCGGAAGCGGACCGTGCGATCCATATCCATTGAGCGAGCCCCAGAACCAGATGCGTCCGTCTTGTGTCAGCGCGTGCATGCCAAAGCCCGAGCACGTGATGCGAGCGACCTTGCCCAGGGCCGACGTGTCGATGGCGCGGGGACGATCGACGGTCGCGCGGCCGGCGCCGGGGCCCAAGCGACCGTTGCTACCAACGCCCCAGGTCAGCACGATGGGCGCGTGCATGCGCCGGTACAGCGTCGCCCAATGGGCCGTTGCCCGCGGGAACGCCTGCGGCGCAATGCGAAAGTCGCGGACGCAGAGCGCCTCCCAGAGCACCGGCGACGCGGCGACGGCGGTATGCAGGAGGCGCGCCGTGGCTGCTAGCTGCAGCAAGGACCGCACGTCCACGTACTCGGCGACGACCTCGAGCACGTCTGGGCCCAGGTCGAGCAGCATGTTGCTCGTCCTAGCGTGTGGGATTGTGGGCGTTGAAAACAGGCAGCCACTTGTAGCCAATCAGAATGCGTGTCGGAAGATCGCTGCCAGCGAGTCGTTCGTCGCTTGGGCCGAATCATGCACAGATTTGTCTGTGAATAATCCGATTAATGGAGAATATGACAATGTCAGACGCGCTGGCGTACTAGTATGAAGCATCGGCTCGCCACCAAGGACACGGGGACTTTCCATGTGGCTGGAAAAACGCAAAATGCGGGTCCAAAATCTAAAGTGCGAATCAAAAGCTCATTAACCCTCCAACGCCTGACTAAACAACCACTTGTTAGAATGTCCGCAGATCGGCAAAGCATTTGACGAGGTATCCATGGCGCTGCTCGATAGCCCACGTGTACAGTACGTCCACAATCTACATCATCGTCAGAGTCGGTGCGGCATGTGGCCGGTGGACCTCGCGGCGACGCGACAATGGCGCGTGCAGACAGAGCTCCACCACGGCGAGACTCGCACTGATAAAGGCATTGTCCAAGAGCACGGCGAGGATGGGGATCAAAGGCGTGTTCTAGGCTTCAACGATCACAAACCTAACCTCCGCACAGTAGAAAACGCGCTACTACATACCTCGAGCAGCGGAGCGACAGCATCCAAGAGACCCGTCAAGCTGTGGCGGGAGCACTCTAGTAGCCACGGCCAGAGCGTGTTGCAATACTAGACACCAAATACATTAGTAAAATCCGAGACGCAGGAATTGAACCGTGTCGTGGGCAATGCTCGTCCACGATAAAATGACGGCGCCGGTCGTCGCGAGGTGCTTGAAAAGCGCCACATGACGTCGCTGGGCCACGTACGCCAGCGGGGTACACCCCATCTAGCTTTCTTGGAAACACACGTGCGCTGCTCCCAGTCCAGTCTACCTTGTCGGGGGCGTTGAGGGGGGTGCCCATTTCCCGCAGCATCGTCGTCATGGCCACGTCGCCGCCGCAGAGTGCGGCCATGTGCAGCGCCGTGTGTCCAGCCTAATGTTGAAATACATCAGACACCCAGACACGGATTTGGCCACCTTGGTGCAAAGGCGCGCGTGGTTGGCAAGCACGAGCCGGGCGAGGACGACAGAGTGCAGTTCGATGGCCATACGCAGCGACCGAAGGCGCGTCTACGCATGAACCACTACGATCTTGTATATGATGCCGGCAGGTATCGATACCTCGATGGAAATGGTGTCGGTCGCCAACAGGACATGGACCATCGCAATGTCATGTCGCTGCAGCGCGAGCTCGAGCTACGCCAACGACGTAGCGTCAACATCTTGAAACAGGGACATGAGAGGCACGTCGTACGCTGGAGAAGCCGATGGACCCTTTGTTGTTGCGCAGGTTGGCATTGCCGCCGTGCTGCTGCAGCATCTTTCGCACCAGGAGGTGCTGGGACGACGCCACCGCCGCGTGCATGCTCGTATGTCCCCGCTACATAGGCATCCGCAACGTCCGATGCGACAAAACTCTCGTACGGCGTCTCGGAGGTTCCGCCGTCGAGCAGGAGACGGGCCAGGACGTCGTTGCCAGTGGCAATGGCCTGCAAAAGCAGTGGCGTGCCCGACTACTCGATCGTCGCGTCAGACCAATACGTCCCGAATGTCGTGCAGCGTACGCTGTCGAAGACGTTGGCGTTGGCGCCGTATTGCAGTAAGAGGGACACCACGCCGTGTTCTTGCTTGCGTGCAGCGATGTGCAGAGGTGTCTCCCACGCCTACCCACGTTGCGCATGAGTCTCGGCGGGTGCATTCGAGTCCAAAGCCTGCCTTGTCGAGCATGTTGGGGCAGCTGCCAAACTGCAAGAAGAGCTCGACGAGCGTCGCGTGGCCGGCCTTTGTCGCTCGGTGGAGCACCGTCTCGCCATTCTACGCACATACCCATGTCGTATATATCATAATGGCGCGTTCAGGTGGGGATCGAAGCGGGTCCTACCTGGAGCAGGTGCACGTTGGCGCTAAATTCCAAGAGCAGCTTTAGTGCTGCATAACGCCGGGGGTTGGCCGCGCCCATGTACAAGGGTGTCCACCCGTTCTAATGGTTGCATCATCATGGGCCTTAGCTCGCAGGTCGAGGACGAGGTGTATACGGTGTCCAGGACATTGGGGTCGGCGCCAGCCAGCAAGAGGAGCGCGATCGCATCGGTGTAGCCCTTGCGCATGGCAATATGCAGCGCCGGACTCGTTGTCGACGGCGCTTCGGTGGCCACGGGCGCGTGCACCAGCGATGACCGGTCGATGTCGGTCTTGTCGGTGGCTCGCAGCGACCGAACGCAAGTCATGTGGGCACCGGTGTCGGCCATGGCGGTAGAGCTGAGGAGCGCCTGCATGGCGCAGACGTCGCCGGCATGCACCGCAGCTTCCCATGCACAGCGTACGACCGACATGGCGCAAGCAAGAGTTGATCGCCGGCTTTTCTGCGTCGACATCGAAAGATTCGATTTTCGATGCTTTTCGCGTCTTCGTCACGTTTGATTGGTGCGAAATGTATCGTTTCGGCGTCGTTGATTGGTAGGAAGGCGCTCTTGACGCATGCGATTGGCTAAAAAGATTCCACCGCGATCACCCACCCAGGGTCATGTAGGACAAGGGTTGTTGAGATTTGTGGGGCTGTGTTTGTGATTCAGGTTGAGATTCGATTGCTGTCTCAAGAAACGTCCAGCAGCAGCACGAGAACACTTATATCTAGCCCACTGGTCGCAGCACCGTTGACGAGGACCATGGCCTTATGGAGACACGTCGAGTCTCTGGTCCGGGTCCTGAACCCTTCACGCGACGCAACCCACAAGCGTCCATCGGCACGCAAAGACTTTGAAGAAAACAGTTGCAAGTGTATATCAGATCGTTGGACGACAGTTGTGTGCATCATCATCGTGGAGCGAACGTGTTTACTCCTGGGCGTTCATCTCTTCGTGGCCCAAGCCTTCGCGGACCTGCGTCCGGCGGGCGTAGTACAGGTCGAGCTGCTTCTTGGGGATCTTCTTGAGGAGTTCCTTCGGGAACGCACGGAAGAGGGACCACGCGAGGTCGAGCGACTCGAAGATATCGCGCGACTGGTACGGGCCCTGGGCGATAAACTTGCCCTCAAACTTGTCGGTAAACTTGAGGTACAAGTGGTCTTCCATCGAGAGCGCTTCCTCGCCGACGACGGCCTTCATGGCCTGCACGTCCTTGCCCGTCGCATAACTGGCATACTACGCTCCGCACGTGAGTCGTCGATCTTCACACGCGACAGATAAAGTACTACGTACGAGCTGGTTGGAGACGGCCGAGTGGTCGTCGCGCGTCATGCCTTCGCCAATGGCAGACTTCATGAGACGCGAAAGCGACGGCAGCACGTTGATCGGCGGGAAGATCTGACGGTTGTGCAGCTGGCGATCGACGTAGATCTGGCCCTCCGTGATGTACCCCGTGAGATCCGGGATCGGGTGCGTAATGTCGTCGTTGGGCATCGTGAGAATCGGGAGCTGCGTGATCGAACCGTTGCGGCCCATGACACGACCGGCGCGCTCATAGATCGTCGAGAGATCCGTGTACATGTACCCGGGGTACCCACGGCGACCGGGCACTTCTTCGCGCGCAGCCGACACCTCACGCAGCGCGTCGGCGTACGACGACATGTCGGTGAGGATGACGAGCACGTGCAGATCGCGCTCGTACGCGAGGTACTCGGCGGTCGTCAAGGCGAGGCGGGGCGTAATGATACGCTCGATCGTCGGGTCGTTGGCCAAGTTCATGAAGAGCGCCGTGTTCTGCATGCAGCCGCTCTCCTCGAAATCGTTGCGGAAGAAGCGAGCGGCTTCCATGTTGACACCCATGGCACCGAACACGATGGCAAAGTTGTCCTGGTGCGAGTCCATGACGTCCTTGCGCTGGACCAAACCGGCCTGACGACAAATTTGGGCGGCAATCTAATGCAAACAAAGATGAGGAATCGGGACGGAGAAGGCCGATGCATACTTCGTTGTGCGGCAAACCAGCGGCCGAGAAGAGCGGGATCTTTTGGCCACGCGCGATCGAGTTCATGACATCGATGGCCGAGATACCCGTCTGGATCATCTCCTTGGGGTAGTCACGGCACGACGGGTTGATGGGCTGGCCCTCAATGTCGAGGTAGTCCTCGGCGACGACCGGCGGCGCGCCGTCAATGGCCTTGCCCGAGCCGTTAAAGGCGCGGCCGAGCATCTCCTCCGAGATGGCCATCTTGAGCACATCGCCGGTAAACTCGCAGTGCGTGTGACGGTTGTCAATGCCATCCGTGCCCTCAAAGACCTGCACGACAGCCTTGCTGCCCTGCACCTCGAGCACCTTGCCTTGGCTACACGTAGCGTGCGTGAGCTTCGTTGGCCATGGCGCGGGCGACCTACCGCACTTCGCCCGTCGACAAGGTCAGGTTGACGATTTCGGCAAACTTGGGCAGCTACGCAAGGAGGCTCAGCAAGGCCATGACCATTATCGAGGCCGCGTACCTTGACGTTCTCGAGAATCACGAGCGGGCCGTTCACGCCCGAGATGGTGCGGTAGTCTACGTGCTTGGTATGAGTCGACGCAGCGCGCGCAGGCGCACGCACCGATGCGGGGCTCGACGTAGTAATCGCGCACAACGGCCTTGGCATGCGTCTCGAACATCTGCAGGTCGACCGACTTTCCATGGTGGCTGCTCATCTTGACGCTCTTCCGGGCGGCAGTCAAAAACTACTTTTGAGGGCCCCACGACAAGGAAGTCAAGCATCATTTCTCACAGGTTTTTTCAGTATACAAACGACCATACAAACGAAGGCCCACCAGTGCAAGATCCGAGATAACCTCTGTCTTTGAATATTGTAATCCGGATAACACATCCGGGAAGGTGCGGCGCAGGGCAAGACATGCGATTCGCACAGATGAGTACACTCGGATATCCGGACACCGAACCCAACCTCTCTCGCCGACCACAGCTCGCCGACTAGCGTATAGTATAAAAGGGCCGAGGTGCATTGGCACACGTTGTATGAGCCCAACCGCTTTCGATACTCGATCTATCCAAGGTCCTCGAACCGGTGAGTAGAGGCCCCTTGCATTATCATCGTGCGGAGAGAGCTCGGGATGCCACGGATGTTTACAGTCCGACTGATGCGAACGACGTGACAAGCCCGCGCATTGATGTTGGCAAGACGGTGCGACTTGTGCAGCACGAGCATACTCTAGTTAAGGCTCTCCTTATGTGGCTAGAAGCGCCGGTGTGTGAAGCTGGCGCACAGGAGCGCTCGCCTATCATCCACGATAGTACTAATTGTGCGAATTCCTGGCACGCCGGACCCCTTTTTGTCGTAAACGATCCGCAAAGTGTTGTGCGTCGTGGACCTTGCACCTTTTTCGAGGAGGTGCCAAGGGACATGGCATCGCCAGCGTCTTTGCCAACGCGCCAACGCAGCGCAGTACGTCGCACTCGGAACAAGCGGCTTCAATTCCCGACGCGGCCATCTCTTTTTTAAACAATTCCATGGCGATCGATGTGTCAGCTGTCGCGGAGCGCACAGCGCCGGTCGTCGGCACTTCGCTGCTTATTGTAGCGCTACGCACACGACAGCGATGATCTCTCATCGTCGCTTGGTAGCAGACGCGTTGTCGTCTTTACCTGTAAATAACTTTTGATCTGCTTGACGTCCTTGGTCGGAATAAACGGGGCCATGTGCGCCGGATCTAGCCGTCGCATGATGAGCGTACTATGGCTCAACCTCGATCTCGACGACGCACCCGTGTAGCCGTGCACTTCGACGAGGTCTTGGAACGCTTGCATTTCCTTTTCATTCCAGCGCGAGTACGACCGAGCGCCCGTCTCCTACCATGAGCCGTCGCCTCGGTCGCCTTCGTGTCATCGAGCTTACTGGCGGCGCCGGCTTGTTGGCTCGCTTCCACTCGGGCGCCGTGTGGCCCAGCGTCGTCCGGCACTGGTAGACGCTTTGGTGCTCGGCTCTGCACTTTTCGCACATCCCTGCGCCTCATTCAGTCCACGCCCGTTCCGAAGAGAGGTACGTTTGAGAGGGCGGGGTGCCGCCTTGGCAGGGACAACGATAGCTGGCGGTGCGAGCATCGGTGCGCGCAGTGGTAGATATGCGTGCTCGGCTAGAAACACCGGCGGGTATAGCGGTGGCGGCGGGTACATGGACATCATTCCTACCAGCCGTACCCTGTTGCGCGATGATCCGATCGAGAATTACCTCCAAATGGCGGGTACATGGCCGGCGGTAGCACCGGCACGGTCTTCCACGACAGCGCCGTGTGCTTGTACACGGCGCGGCAATCGGTCACCGACTTGCCGAGGCGATGGCAGTCGAGGCATTCTTCCTTGGCGGCCACGATGCGGTTCTTGGAGACCGGCATCATTGGCATCGACGCTGGCAACGGTAGCGGTGACGGCCGCAGCATGGACGGCGCCTTCGGAAGCGCCACCACGTCTGGTACGAGCGGTGGTTTGGCAGCTTCCTGTTCGCGGATGCGCAGTTGGGACGAGACAAACTCCTTCTCGGTGCGGCGCCGCGCTCGAAAGTGCTCGGTGGCCTGGATCGTCGCCAAGAGCGCGCTGGGCTCGGACAATGGCGTCGTCTCGCTGCTTGGCGGCGACGGCTTGCGCTTCTTGAGCAGGACGACGTCGTTCGGCAGCGGTGACGGGCGGCCCGTGGCCGTGCCGTGGTCCTAGCACGCAATGAAGCATGCGAGGAGGCCTGCGTGAACGCACCACGTCGACAAAGACGCCGCAGAGCGAGTCGACAAAGTTGGCCATTTCAATCAGGTTCTTGTGCAAGATGCGCTGGTACGCGTGGGCGGTCTCGAGCGACCGGTACGCGTTCGGGTCGCTCCAGTTCTGGTGCTCGGCGATCGCTGCGATCATGTCTTCGTTCACTTGGAGCATCTAGCATGAGCCATGAGCCTTCTGCGGCTGCCACGTCAGCGGTGACCTGCGCAAAGACATCGCAGAGCGTCGACGGGTCCTCGTCGTCGTGGAGCATGGCGGCTGTCGCGACCTCCAATTGGTGTAGACGCGAGGACGAGATGCAATTTTAGCCAATCCATGATTTTCTGTCTTGCGGCGATTGGATTGGGCCACAGAAACATGCCTGCACTGGATTGGTTGAAAAGACCAGGTCCGAGGCTCCGGGGCGCATTGGGTTGGCAGGACACTAGGTACTGCCATGGGCTCGCCGGTGTCGAGAGCACCGTGCATGCGTGGCCCCTGAGACTCTCGTACAATGCGACTCAAGAACAAAGGCACAACAATGGCTATCATAATCGCCAGGTATGTATCAAGACGAGTATCAAGCATGTATCAACTGTGTCGAAGGTGGCGCAGCTCAAAGTACTGCGGAACGACGAGATTATACGTATCGGCAGTGCAGTGATTTCCCGACTCCAATATTCGACCAACTCTTCGGTAGGGAGTGACTAGCCAAGTTGTCGTTGAAGACACGGAGCGTGGCAACCATGCATGGTAGCCGACCGTGGGCTCGTGTACCGTGGTCACCAAGGAGCAATGGCTCTGACGCACGTCACCAAACCTTGGTGACCTCAGAACCATTGAGGGAGCACTGTGTACTTGCAGAATGTACATTTTCAAGCTCCTCGGTGTTAAAGCTCGACGTGATTACGTAGCGATGGCTCACTGTCAATCCAAATAAGTCGGCTACAACCGACGGACAACAAATCCCATCGCAGTCGCACACAGCCGAGGCCCTGTAAGCAACGCACCAACAGGTCGCCCATGGAAATCTCTCGGCCGGTAATCCAACGATCCAATGTCAAGCGTTTAGGCCAGCAAGGACGATTCTCTAATGAAACACTACCAATGCCCTTTACCGATATACTAGTATTTTTTTAATAGTCATCTTGTCCCCAAAGCCAAACGAAATGCTGCAAATCTCAGGTATCAGCAATAGCAACCATAGCCTGTCTCTGTTCCATGAACGCTTGCAATACCCGTTGCATCCCGTCGTGTTGGCAAGAACGAGGTTATACATGCACTGGTACGCGCATCCCGCGCACTCGGTGAGCCTTTCAGGCTTTGTTTGCATTGTCGCCGTCGTCGCGCCACCCGCTCGTTTCTTGAAGCAACGGTATCATGGTTCTTGAAGTGTACCGAGTCAGTACAACACGACCATACATATGTACGGTTGTAACATGATGAGGTTGTCGTCGTCGTCACGACGAACGAGCGTGCAAGGAGAGCTCTGTGCGATGCGCACGGCAGACACGGTAGCTGTAGCTGCTGCAGCCACGATCTAAACGATTTCTAGATCCTATTGGTCGTGTTTCCTCTTCTAAATACCGGTCCCGGGTAGCGTTTCAAGAGTAGCCACATGGGTGCACCATCGTCTGCGACACGCAAGACGTCTGTGATGAGCTGCATTGTCGTTGTCGTGGTTGTGAGCTCGACTGCGCCGGTCTTGAATGCAGCGTCCGAGCGCGCGCCTGCTGTGACGCCAGGTCCCCAATGTATGAGCTGGTGGTGAGACCGCAGCGTCGGAGCTGGATGTGCGCATCACTTGCACGCGTGCTGCTGCACATGCTAATTGCACGTGCTGTACATCCCGGGTGCGTGTCACGCCGTGTCATTGGCAGGATTGTAAGGTGGACCACGCTTGACAACCAAACGCGGTGCTCACTTTTCAATTTGCAGCATGCGCGGGTTCGTTGCGCTCTTGGGTGGTCTTGCCGTCGTCGCGGCCGCAGTGCTCGAGCCGTCGCCGCAGGACGTGCTCCTCGTGCACGACCCGACCTTTGACGAGGCAGCACCCGAGATCTTGCCTGCCGCTGGCACGGATGCTCCACCTCTTGGTGTCGTGCGCGACTTGCGTTTGATGGCCATCATGGAAGACGTGCCGCCCGGCTCCAACGATACGAATGCCACGACGCAACCGGTTCCGGTCCCGACAACGACTGTGCCGACGCCAACGACCACTGAGCCGACGCCGACAACGACCGTACCGACGCCAACGACAACCGAGCCGACGCCCAACGTGACCACCCCAACACCGCCGACGCCGGTTCCGACGACAGATGTGCCGACACCGGTGCCCAACGCGTCGACTCCGGCACCACCGACGCCCGTTCCGACGTCTGATGTACCCACGCCGGTGCCCAACGCGTCGACTCCGGCACCACCGACGCCCGTTCCGACGTCTGATGTGCCCACGCCGGTGCCCAACGCGTCGACTCCGGCACCACCGACGCCCGTTCCGACGTCTGATGTGCCCACGCCGGTGCCCAACGCGTCGACTCCGGAGCCACCGACATCAGTCCCGACGCCAACCCCGACATCCACGGGTACTCCGATCCCGACTGAGCTTCCTTTCGATATCCCGACATCTGCCGTTGCCACGGTCGACCCATCGTTTGGAAACTTCCTCAACCAGACGGATCCTCCGACCCCAGCGCCAAGTGGCGACTCGTTTCTCGGAGCGACGACTGCACCTGCCAACAGAACGATTGCCCCCGACGCCGAGCGCACGGTGCCCCCGAACGACCACAGCAACAACATCAACCGTGGCAAGTCGGACGTCAACGATGCTCCGCAGACGACGGTCGGCGCCGAGTCGACGGCCCACCAAACCATTCGCTATCTTTCGTCGGCTGTCGTCGCCGTGACGGTTGCGACGCTGGCGTTCTTCCAGTTTCTGGCCATCAACCCGTCGTACATTGCACCGGACGCAACGATGGAGCGGGCGTTCGCTCCCAACGCGTGGGAGCTGCCGACGTTTGTCGGGTTCCTCCAGGTCGTTGGTGCGCTCTCGCTTGTACGGAACGCCAACATCCCGCAGCTCTTTTACGTCAACTTTCTCGACTCGCTCTCGTGGATCAACTACTTGATTCGGGCCTCGGCGCCGTCGGGTACCTCCAGCACGGTCTCCTCGATCCAGCTCAGTCCGGCCGCGGTGGGCCATCGGCAGCTCGCCACGGTCAAGTCCGACTACGATGCCTCGGGCTACGTCAGCTTCTCGCTCCGGTCGCACGTCAATGAGAAAGACTGGTTCTTCCGTCTCTGGATCGCCGTCCTCGTCGTTGTTGCTATCGTCTTGGCGGCCGCCGTCATTGTCGGTGTCATTGGGCGGCTCAAGTCGGGGCGCCGCAACCCGTTCCACTCGGACTCGTCCAACTCGCACTCGAGCGCCCAATCGCTGCACTCGATCTCGCAGCGCCTCCTTGGTATCTGCGTCTCGCTGCTCGCGCTCGCGTATCTCCCGCTCGGGATGATTGCCATGTTTGAGATCCGGCAAGACGCGTCCCTCGGCGACGGCTTCCCGCACACGAACGCCGTGCTCTCGATGGTGACGCTCGCGCTTCTTGTCGGACTGCTCGTCGGCGGTGCGGTCCTTGTCTACAAGAAGACCGAGGCCGGTCTCTCCAAGTGGCAGGTGCGCGTCATCTGGGGTGTCCTCTACAGCCACTACGAGTACAGCCGGCGTCTCTTCTTTGTGGTGCCGATTCTCGTCCAGCTCCTCTCCGGTGTCCTAGTCGCCAACGTGACGGCTTCCGGCGCCGGCCCGCTCATCGCGCTCATCGTGCTCCACGCTCTGTACGTTGTGCTGCTCCTTGTGTTGCAACCGTTCAAGGACGCGCTGCAACTCTGGGCGACCATCGTCCTTGACGTGGTCTTGTGTGCGATTCTCGGTGTCGCCATTGGCATGACATCGACGCCGTTGTCGGTGGACACGCAGACGACGCTGTCGTACGTCATCGTCGTTCTTGTGTGCGTCTTTGTGCTTGCGATGCTGCTCCGGCAACTGGTCATGCTCTGGACGTTCGCGTCCGGGTGGGCCAAGCCGACCAACGACGACCAGTACACGGGCCTGTACACGGCCAACGAGCACGAGATGGACACCGACAACGGCAACTATACGATTTCGCTCCAAGGCTCGTCGTCGCACCACACGACGCCCGACCGGCGCACGGGCGACGACGACTACGACGTGCCCAACACGATCCGGCTCATCGACTCGCGCGCATAAACCTGTTGCTCGTAATCTCTCACGATATAATACCATTTCGTACAAAGTATCATTTGCGGCGATCACATGGACGTGGTCTACAGTGTTGTAGAGCTCTTATTGTTGAAGATTCATAGCTGTCGTCGGTCGCAGCGCACCGGTGCCTACGTCCGTCGATGGCGCGCCGACGGGTCGCTGCTACTGCGTGCCACGACTCGCCATTCCAGACGCTTCGCGTACACGGTGCCGTGCTCCGTCGGACCGATGCGCGTAAAAATCCTCTCCATGTCGGCGCCACGGGGACCGCACGTTGCCAATCCTAATTGAAACCGTCTGTCACGGCAGTTACATTCCCTACAGCTAGATGACTAGATTGCTAGTTGTTTGGTGCACCCCTTTCTCTTGCGGCGCCTCCATCGTGCGCCGGGGCACGGTCAAAGTACAGTCCATGATTACAGCTCCATATTACGAAAGCGCAGGCCATAGCAGAATGCGCGCCCGACGTCGTCGAGATAGCTTGCCGACTGCAAGGCGGGTGCGCGATGATTCGCGCATGAGGACGCGCACCGTCGTTTGGTGGGTGCTGCATGCGCGACAGCAAACACACAACAACTCTCGCCGTCGCAGCGTGAACACACTCCCGCCACGAAGCTTTCTACTACTACAGAGCTCTGAGTAGTATAGCTGGATCGACTAACTGGCTGGATCACCAACTTGGGTTCGTTTGGTCGTCTAGTACTATACTAGGCGTGGCGCGGTACCGAATCTGGATGGGTGAGTCTCATTGAATGTTGCAGAGACACCATGTCTTGACCGTTGCGTCCTCGCGTCAACGCACCCAGCACACCGCCGCTCACCTGCATTACCGTCCCACTGGCCTCGCATTCTCGTCGCCTCAAGCGAATCATTGCATCTTCTCGGCTTATATTCGTGGCGGTGTGCTGCTGCGTACTGGACGACCAAGAGCCATTTGAGACGTACGTGGCGCGGCGATGCCATGGATGGAACCACAAGGGCCTAATGTATCGACTATGGTTCACTGCGTGCCATCGCATCGTCCTTTCTGCATCGCGGCGACACTGTCGCGTCAACACGTCGCCCGCCTTTCCAGCGATCGCGACGCACCCGCCAATAGCGATGCGTGCTTCGTCCACGTGCAGACCACAGTGTCTGTCCTGTCAATGAAGCGACACGAGTGCCACCCACCGGACCCTCGTGCCATCTTCCTCCGAGAACGTTCTCGGCGGTTGAACATCGTGCTACAAATCCTTACAATACCTTTGCTCGTGCGACCAACGTGTGCCCCGAGTCGTGAGCGACCATCAACTAGAGATTAAATGAAACTAAACTTGTATGTGCATTAACTTAGGAAACAAAAACTCGGACCGCGCGTCAGTAAAACGTCGTGTCGGGCAGAGTCTTGGATGACAAAATGGCGTCAAAGAAGAAGTCCATTTCATCCGACGCAAGCGTGAGCGGGCCGTCGTCAAGGGCCGACGGCAGCATCGGCGACATGGCGGCGGGCGAGAAGACGGCGACGGCGTCGTCGTCGTCCGTCGATGCCCGGCGCTCGCGCTTCTTTCGGTCGAGTTTCATTTGGTTCCAGTTTGCTTTTTGCCGGTGGAAGGCGCAGAGCCGATGGAACTGGCCGTTGCGCTTGAGCGCGCTCGGGTGCGTACACTTGCCCGTGCGGTAGCCGCACTTTTGGTACGTCGGAGACATCGTCGTCGTCGTCGTCGAGAGAAGCAGCTCCAGCATCGTGCACAGGAAATGGCAAATTGCAAAGTGGAGGAGACGGACGAGACGGATGTTGCGTTGCGCCTACCTCAAGGGTTGTTCTTCCCAGCGTATGTCACGTCGCCGGCTGGGCGTGCTGTCAGGGGGCTCTCTTGACATGGGTGCGTGGTCACCTGCCTTCGCACTTCAAGTTCGTCTTGCAGCGGTCTTTTTCAATTGCCACACATCGTGTCGGTGCCCCGTGATCCACGGGTGTGTGCGACCGGATACTATGTCGTTCAAGCGTCCGTCGGCCGTGTCAGGTTCGAGCCCACGACGATTACGCGCGATTCTTCAGTACGGGACGCGCGCGGCGGGCGTATTGTCGCCCGCAGAGATGGCCGCGACCTTCGAGAAAACTGCTGGCCCACTGACGAGAAGAGGGTTTCGAATGCAGGGCGACATTAGGCAGGGAATCGAACCTGCGATGGTAGTGTGCGCCGGATGTTGCATTGTACTGACTACGGGAATTGGACGGCCGCGGTAGCACACTGAGACGCGGGCGCAAGCAGGTGGCGCGACCGAGTGCACGTGGACTTGTGAAGAGGCCCCAGGTTTCAACGCACGACGCGACCAGCCGACATGCCCATCATATCTCAAATCGTGTTTAACGTGTAGAGACCGTCGGCTGCCGCGTCCGAGTAATAGGACGTGGGTACTAGCGTCGCCGAAGCCACCGCGCCCGCGTTCTTCAATCCCAGGTGGCCCGGCAGGCATGACACCAACGTCCCACGGGTAGGCTCCAGGTGGCGTCGGTCCAGCGCCTCGGCAAGCGTATGCAATGCCGAGGCCGGGTCGCCCGTTTATGCCACCTTCGCGCGTCCCCTGATCCCGCATCATATCGGATCAGGTGCTGCGTCGACGGGCGATCTTTGACGCGATCATGCAACGCTTCGGCACGCCTTTGCTGCTACGGTCATACGGCTCGCCACCGGGATCAGCTCAAGGCCTTTCACATGGGGCAACTGCAGCTCCTAATGACGCTACGATCACGAGACTCGTGTCAGAAGGTAACCAACTATTGGATGCATGGCGTCGGTAGAGGCCACTGGGTAGAGGCAGTCGGTTCGTGTAACGCTTCGTGACGTGGCAGCCCCAGGTGGCAGATAAGGACGCCGTACCGACACCTTGGACACAGCCTTGGACATCTTGCATTACATGAAAAGTTCCGTTGCGAGTCGCCGCCGTGCCTCGAGTGATAGCAGCTGAGATAGCCATACAAGTACGTCGTGGTCGACTCGTACACAGTACCAAGTAGCTTTCGCCGGCTCTGTGCACCAATATCGTCGTTCTCGACGCTCTTTCCGCCCACGCACCAGGAAGAAGCAGGATGCGAGATACTTTTTACGATGCCTCCGTCCTGCGTATGCAAGCAGGACGAGCACAAGTGTGCTGATGACGACGCGGCTTCCACCTGTCGGATGTTCTTTTCTTTTGTGGAAGAATCGGTGTGCCTGCATACACATCTGCTCCTCTCACCAGCTGCGCCGTCGGCGTTCGCAGTGACCATCTGCGGGCCATGGACGGGGCGAGTACCTTGCTCTTCATCGCCGCGTTGTCTCGCAGAGTCACCCCTTCCGCAATCATCCAGTACCGGTAGCTCAGCCACTTACGGCTTGCTGTAGGAGGATTTGAGTTTTTCCCGAAGCGAGCTGGTAGCTCGTTCGGTGAGTATGCTCTTGGTCCACTTCGACCGACCAAATCCATCCATATAGCCTGCATTACGACAAATGCTGACGACGACGACGACGCAGGATGATGATGCTGCGTGCAGCTTCACGCAGCCTTTCGAGGCGCTTGCATCGCGCGGATCGACGTGATCGTCAAGCCCAAGTAGACAACGATCGCATGCAGCACTAGCATAGACACCATGATGCTCTACCATCCAGCTGCTTACGTACACAAGACGGCAAAGATGGGGCGCGCGCTAAAGTCCGTGTGGGTCGAGAGGAAGCTCGATAGGACGTTGTTGACAATGTGCAGTACGATCGAATCGCGGAGGTTCTGCCGCGTCTGCACAAAGAGCACTGCGTAGTACAAGCCGATCTCGATGCCGAGGCAGGTCTGCAGCAGCACATATGGCGTCGAGAAGCTGCTGTGTTTGAGGTTGATCAGGTGCGTGCAGCCAAAGAGGACGCTGGCGACCCCGGCCGCGACGCCATTGCTCGGGATCCTACGGCCATCATAGTACGACATGAACGGTTTTCATTGCAAATGGCGACGGCTGTACCGGTTGAGGAGCAGGTGGAAGGCAAGGCCGCGAAACACAATCTCTTCCTTGATCGGCGACAAGAGTAGAATCTCACAAATGCGCGCGAGCTGGAGCTGGCCCGTCACCGCGTCGTAGTAGTTGTCCAGCGAGAGAAACCAAGCGGTCGTATGCCATTGGTACGCGACCACAAGCGCAAACCCAGCGAGATGGTACACGACGAGCCACTTGGTCGAGGTCGCCAGCGGTCGCCAGCGCAAGAGCCCGAGCCTAATCCATCGCTGCATACGACAGGCGTCATGGAAGCGATGTACCGTTCGCAGAGCGCGCGTGGCGAGAGATGGAAGAAGGTCGCGTACCGATGCAAGAGCCACGCGAGGACAAAGACGGCGTCGTACATTGCATCCACGATCGTTGTCGCCGATGCATCGCGCTCCATGAGGAACGAGAGGAGGTACAGGAGCGTTGAGCGCGACGCGATCGCTAGCACCATGACGAGGAAGGTCTCGCCGAGAAAGGCAACGACCTCGACCCACGCAAAGATGGCGGCGACGACCGTGCCATGCACCTTGGGTGTCTCTACGCCGCGCGTTAGCACCAAGTCAATAGGCAGAAGCTGTGGTCGCACCGGCGCTTGGGTCCATGAGCCAGAGGACGACGCCGTTCTCGGCCGCGTCGAGCACATGCGCCTCCTGCCAGAGTGCTCCAGCCATGCTGCGTGTGTGGCATCCGGATACTGTGCCTTTTTAAAGAGCGCTTTTTAACAGCCAACGTATCCGGATGCTGGTGGATCGCGAAATTTGCGCCACCGACGACCACCATGGGCGACGTTGGCCCCGTACGGGTGTAGTCGTCGCCATCGCGTCGTAGCTGCGTAAAAAAGAATCGTTCATTTTTGCAAGAGGCAGCGTCGAGTCTCTCGAGCGCGCTCTGGCGACCTGAAGAGCAGCGGTGGACCAGTGGACGCCGGAGTAGCAGTCCCAGCACGACTACTAGTACAATACTTTTGCTATATAGTAGTAGGGCAGGATGGTCCCAAGAGTCTTGGTCTTGAAGACGTGAAGGGTTCTACTGCAGCTATCCATGCGTGCGTGCATTTCTGATCACTCGATCGCAGTCGCGCTCTTTTGGTGGCCCCAACACAAGTCGATGCTGTCTGATGCTTCCTTCCCGTTTGCAGTGTTCACAACCGCTTCAAAGAAACGGAGCGCAGCTCATGACAATCTGTGCATCATGTAAACGTGTCGAATGCATTCATAGCTACAGGGGTGATCATCTATTACATGTCATTTCCATGACCGCGTCGGGTGCGTCGAGGGCACGAGCCGGATCGTGTTGGGCATGTCGTCGGTCGAGTACGCCGCCGACGCGTCGCGCGGTGACGAGTCGGCGCCCTGAATTGAGATCGTGTAGTTGGCGCCGGAGCTCTCCCAGTCGTGCTCGTGGGCCGTCGGGATGCCCGAGTACGAGACGTCGTCCGGCTTCGCCCACCCGCTCGCAAAGTTCCAGAGCATGAGCAGCAGACGCAAGAAGACGATCAGAACGATCGCGACGACGACGACGACAACCACATACGACAGCGTCTTCTGCGTCCCGACTTCCAACCCGAGCGGGGTGAGACCGGCGGCGACGCCATAAATGACAACCAAGAGCGCTTCCAAAACCAGTGTGCACCACAGCTGGATCGTGCACTGGAACGGTCGGACGACAACGATGATTACGACGTAGACCACCCGCAGCGCAATGAGCGCAATCAATGGCGCGGCGCTGGCCACGGGCACACTCGCGACAAGAACACCCGTCAGAAGCTGCACGAGTGCCGCAACGACAAAGAAAAGCCGGTGGCTGTACAAGTACGGCCCGTACACGACGCCCCACACGACGCGGACGTGCCACTTGGAGAGACCCGCCTCGGTCTTGCGGTGCACCGCAACCGCACCGGCGACAAGGACACCGACGAGAAGTGCCAACGTCACCATCGACAGCACGGCGTTCGTGTGCGGAAACCCAGTCGACGACGCGTCTTGCAGCACCTCGAACGTCGCGACCATCGAGAGCGGCAAGATCGCAAAGTAGACGACCGTGACGCACATGCCGAGGAGCCGGCGCGAGATCGACCGGAGACTCACACTGCGCTTGTGCGAGTCCGACGTCTCCGAGTGGAACGGGTTCCCGCGCTGCACCAAGCACTTGGCGACGACGGCCGTCACGATCACGACCAGCAGCAGCACCGCCAGCACGACCAGCACCGTCGCCCAGAGACGGAAGAACCAGTCCTTCTCGGCCACGTTCGCACGCAGCGAGAAATCAATGTACCCCGACGCGTCGTAGCCAGACGTCGACGCCAGTTGCCGGTGCGGCCCCAACTGCCGGTGGCTCACGAGCTGCACGGACGCTACGGTGCTCGTCGACGCCGACGACGCCGACGCCCGAATGAGAAAGTTGAGCCACGAGAGCGAGTCGAGAAAGTTCATGTAGAAGAGCTGCGGCACATTCGTGTTGTGGACCAGCGAGAGCACGCTGATGCCTTGGAGAAACCCGACAAACGTCGGCAGCTCCCATGCGTTGGGCGCGAACGCCCGCTCCATCGTTGCATCCGGTGCAATGTACGACGGGTTGATGGCCAGAAACTGAAAGAACGCCAGCGTCGCGACCGTCACGGCAACGACAGCGGCCGTCACATAGCGCACCGTGAGCTCGGACGTCGACTCGGTGCCGACCGTGGCCTTGGCCTTGAGCTCGGCAGTCGTGTCGCCTCCGGTGTTGCCGGCGCCGCGGTTGATGTTGCTGTGGTCGTTGGGCGGCACGGTTTGTTGGTCTTCGAGTACCGGTGCCGTCGTCGCGTTGCTTGACGGCGCTGTCGTTTGGCCAAAGAACTGGTTGTCGAGGTTCGTGGGCGCCGGCGTCTGCGTCTCGGGATTCTTGAGGAGGTTCTCGAGACTCGGATCGACAGTTGCTGGTGGCAGCGTCGTAATGTCGATGACGATCATTGTCGGTATCGGCGTCGTCTCGCTAGGATTTGACGACGGTGTCGGCTTCGTTGGCTCAGGAGCTAAAGTTGGTTCTGGTGTGGGCGGGGTAGATGGCTCCGATGTCGGACTGGGCTGAGGTGTTGGTGTGCCAGACGCATCCGATGTCGGGTCGGGCTTGGGCGTCGTTGATGGTGTTGGCGTCGGTGACGCCGACAGATCATCCGGCTTGGGCGTTGGCGTCGGAGATGCCGTTGGGTCCTCAGGCATGGGCGTCGGCGTCGGCGATGCAGTCGGGTCGTCAGGCTTGGGCGTCGTCGTTGGCGTTGGTGACGGCGTCGGCTCGATCGGGCCTGGGTGTCGTCGTTGGCGTCGGCGACGGTGACGGCTCGTCAGGCTTGGGCGTCGTCGTTGGCGTTGGTGACGTCGTCGGCTCATCGGGCTTGGGCGTCGTTGTTGGCGTCGGCGACGGTGACGGTGACGGCTCGTCAGGCTTGGGCGTCGTTGTTGGCGTCGGCGACGGTGACGGTGACGGCTCGTCAGGCTTGGGCGTCGTCGTTGGTGTCGGCGACGGCTCGTCTGGCTTGGTCGTCGTTGTTGGCGTTGGCGACGGTGACGGCTCATCGGGCTTGGGCGTTGCCGGTGCAGTCGTGTTGCCAATTGTTGGCGTAGGTGCTGGCGATGTTGAATTGTTGTCAGGCTTAGGCGTCGTAGTCGGTGCTGTTGTAATGCTTGGTGTCGTTGTTGGTGTAGTCGACGGGGCCGTTGTCGGAATCGGACTCAGCACCTGTGGGCTTGGCGCCACTGTCGCCACTGTCGGTGCTGTCGATGGCTCGAATGTCGGAACGGGTGTTTCCGAATCCAGTGTCGCGCGCACGGCGCCGTGGACGAGGTCACGGCCATCAACGGCCGCAACCGTGAGGAGACACAGCACGGCGACGGCCTTGAAGCGTGTGCTGGCAGGCATCGTCGTCACTTGCGAATGAACTCGACCGAATCGAAAATGCAAATTCACGTCTTGGGTTGCTGGATGTCCGTGATCGTGCGAGCGTCACGCACCAAAACGCTGTTTGCATTTGTTAAACGTGCCACGTCGCGGTCGAACCTGCCTTTAACCTCCCCAACCCGGCGTTTACCCGGGTCAAACCATGCCTAATTGACGTTTAACGCGATCGAGCAGACGTCAAAATTTTGGCCGCGACCACGTGGTATGGCGATCGTCCAGCACGTGGTTTCCAGCATCACCCGCCCACGTCGTGATTGGTCCGTCGGCGCGACAAGGACCGCGATCCGTCAAGGCCCAGTGCGTCCACGATGTGCTAAATGGCATGACAAGCCAAGGCAACGCCGCCGATGACGTAGACTCGAGGCTGCTCCTTCAGTGATAGTATAACGCCGGAAGCGTCGCCTCGATGGGCGGCTTGTACCGTGCACGACCACAACCCGTCGCAGAAACGACGGCTTCGTTTTCTGTGCATGGGTGTCAAAGTTCAAGGAATCGACAAGCGCTGGGACACGGTTGGGACGTTCTCGGTCGCTGAGGCTTGAAGGATTGTTGGGAGCTCAGAGCTGCTGGCTATCGCGTGCGCTGCAAGCTGCTAGTGTGCAGCAGCTCCGTGGTTATGAAAGGTTTTTGGTGTGCGATCCAACGGCTCGAGATGGCTCCGGACCGTCACCGACCCGACGCCATTGCACCTTCCGTCGTTGCGCAGCGTCCGCACCGTGATCGTCGATGGCATCGGAGGAAGCATCGTTTGCTGGTTCCATCAACGACAGACACTAAGACACATCAAGATACTAGCACCGACGGTACGTCGATGACTGTCCATTCCACGTGACTCGAAAGACAAACACTGTGTATGCGTCTCGATGGTGCTGCATACGCCACGTGCCACTCCCGTTGCATCTGGGAAAACAACAGCATGCAGTTGTGCTTGCTTTCACCACCGGCAACGGCGCGATCGCAGCGGATTTGACGGTTTGCACCGAGTCGCTGACGTGGGACTTATGCAACGCCAAGCGGCGGCTCTGCGGGACGTGCAGGACCTGCAACCGTATTTCGATCCCTATGTGCGTGACTGGCCAACTCCACCACAATGTCGCGCCTCGAGCGCTCAAAGCGATGCACATCGTCGACCCCACTGCGCGAGAAGAGCTATGGTCTCACGGTGCGCGATTCCGCTTGGACATCGACGCTCTTTGCTCAACTCGACCACAAAGTCCCATGCAAATTCCTCTGTTGCATTAACACCATAGATGCGCACGCCAACCCACACGGACTTCGTCGTGGCAGTACTAGTAGTGCGGAAACATACAAGGCCGACTACGCCCGGTGCTTGTCCGAGGCGAGTCGGATCGTATCGGGCACGTCATAGGCGTCGTCCGGGTCGTGCAACGGGTTGCTGCGCGGGTGCGACCCGGACGCGAGCGAGATCGTGTACTTGTCGGCGCCACTTTCCCACTCGTGTTCGTGGACGGTCGGCACGCCCGAGTAGTCGTCCTCGTCGTCGTGCTTGGCCCACCCGCTTGCAAAGTTCCAGAGCATGAGCAGCTGCCGCACAAAGACGCACACGACCATGGCGACAACGAGAACGATAATCACATACGACAGCGTCTTCTGCGTCCCAATCTCGATCGGCGTCGTCATTAAGCCGGCCGCGACACCGTAGACCACGACAAGGATGCATTCGACCGCGACGGTCACCGCAGCTGGATCGTGCACTGGAACGGTCGGACGACAACGATGATTACGACGTAGACCACCCGCAGCGCAATGAGCGCAATCAATGGCGCGGCGCTGGCCACGGTCACACTCGCGACAAGAACACCCGTCAGAAGCTGCACGAGTGCCGCAACGACAAAGAAAAGCCGGTGGCTGTACAAGTACGGCCCGTACACGACGCCCCACACGACGCGGACGTGCCACTTGGAGAGACCCGCCTCGGTCTTGCGGTGCACCGCAACCGCACCGGCGACAAGGACACCGACGAGAAGTGCCAACGTCACCATCGACAGCACGGCGTTCGTGTGCGGAAACCCAGTCGACGACGCGTCTTGCAGCACCTCGAACGTCGCGACCATCGAGAGCGGCAAGATCGCAAAGTGACGACCGTGACGCACATGCCGAGGAGCCGGCGCGAGATC